ACTTCCATCACAACAGACAGTTCCATACACTCTACAACAACAGAAAATACCTCTTACATCACTTCTACAGAGAGCACTGCAGATACAACATTACCTGATGGTTCTACTTCAATCACGACTACAGACAGTTCCATAGACACTACATCAGACAATACCCGATACATCGCTACTACAGGGATAACTGCAGCCACAACAGTATCTGAAGGTACAACTTCCATCACAACGGACAGTCAAGTAGACACTAGAACATTAGACAATACTCCCTATATAACCACTACAGAGAGCACTGTAGACACAACAGTATCTGAAGGTACTACTTCCATCACAACAGACAGTTCAAAATACACTACATCAAGCAATACCCCATACATCATTACTACAGAGAGCATTGTCGCAACCACAATGTCTGAAGGTTTTACTTCCATCACAACAGACAGCCCCATAGACACTACAACATCAGACAATACCCCATACATAAGCACTACTGAGAGTGCTGCAGATACAACAGTATCTGAAGGTGATACTTCCATCACGACAACAGACATTCCCATACACACTAAAACATCAGACAATATCACTTACATCACTACTACACGGAGCACTGTAGACACAACAATGTCTGAAGGTTCTACATTCACCACAACAACAGACAGTCCCATACACATTACATCAGAGAATACCCCATACATCACTAGTACAGAGAGTGCCGTAGACACAACAATGTCTGAAGGTTCTACATCCATCACGACAAAAGACAGTCCCATAGACACTACAACATCAGACAATACTATAACCACTACAGAAAGCACTGTAGACACAACAGTATCTGAAGGTACTAGTTCCATCACAATAGATAGTTCAATAGACACTACATCAAACAATACCCCATACATTACTACCATAGAGAGCACAGTCGCCACCACAATGTCTGGTGGTTCTGCCTCAATCACGACAATCACTTCCATAGACACTACAACATCAGACACTTCCATTCACACTACAACATCAGATCACTACACAATACCCCATACATAACCACTTCAGAGAGTGCTGTAGACACAACTATGTCCGAAGGATCTACATCCATCCATTCACAACAGACAGACAGTCCCATAGACACTACATCAGATAATACTCCATACATCACTACTACAGACAGCACTGTAGCCACAACAGTATATGAAGGTTCTACTACATCCATTAGGACAACAGAAAGTCCCATAGACACTAAAACGTCAGACAATACCACTTACATCACTACCCCACAGAGCACTGTAGATACAACAGTATCTGAAGGTACTACTTCCATCACAACAGACAGTCACATAGACACTACAACATCAGACAATATCCCATACATAACCACTAGAGAAAGTGCTGTAGACACAACAGTATCTGAAGGTACTACTTCCATCACAACAGACAGTCGCATAGACACTACATCCGACAATACACCATACATCACTACTACAGAGAGCACTGTCGCCACCTCAATTTCTGAAGGTTCTACTTCCATAACAACAGACATTGCCATAGACACCACAACATCAGACAATACCTCTTACATAACCACTATAGAGAGCACTGTGGATACAACATTATCTGATGATAAAACTTCCATCACAACAGACAGTTCCATACACTCTACAACAACAGAAAATACCTCTTACATCACTTCTACAGAGAGCACTGCAGATACAACATTACCTGATGGTTCTACTTCAATCACGACTACAGACAGTTCCATAGACACTACATCAGACAATACCCGATACATCGCTACTACAGGGATAACTGCAGCCACAACAGTATCTGAAGGTACAACTTCCATCACAACGGACAGTCAAGTAGACACTAGAACATTAGACAATACTCCCTATATAACCACTACAGAGAGCACTGTAGACACAACAGTATCTGAAGGTACTACTTCCATCACAACAGACAGTTCAAAATACACTACATCAAGCAATACCCCATACATCATTACTACAGAGAGCATTGTCGCAACCACAATGTCTGAAGGTTTTACTTCCATCACAACAGACAGCCCCATAGACACTACAACATCAGACAATACCCCATACATAAGCACTACTGAGAGTGCTGCAGATACAACAGTATCTGAAGGTGATACTTCCATCACGACAACAGACATTCCCATACACACTAAAACATCAGACAATATCACTTACATCACTACTACACGGAGCACTGTAGACACAACAATGTCTGAAGGTTCTACATTCACCACAACAACAGACAGTCCCATACACATTACATCAGAGAATACCCCATACATCACTAGTACAGAGAGTGCCGTAGACACAACAATGTCTGAAGGTTCTACATCCATCACGACAAAAGACAGTCCCATAGACACTACAACATCAGACAATACTATAACCACTACAGAAAGCACTGTAGACACAACAGTATCTGAAGGTACTAGTTCCATCACAATAGATAGTTCAATAGACACTACATCAAACAATACCCCATACATTACTACCATAGAGAGCACAGTCGCCACCACAATGTCTGGTGGTTCTGCCTCAATCACGACAACAGACACTTCCATAGACACTACAACATCAGACAATACCCCATACATAACCACTTCAGAGAGTGCTGTAGACACAACTATGTCCGAAGGATCTACATCCATTACGACAACAGACAGTCCCATAGACACTACATCAGATAATACTCCATACATCACTACTACAGACAGCACTGTAGCCACAACAGTATATGAAGGTTCTACATCCATTAGGACAACAGAAAGTCCCATAGACACTAAAACGTCAGACAATACCACTTACATCACTACCCCACAGAGCACTGTAGATACAACAGTATCTGAAGGTACTACTTCCATCACAACAGACAGTCACATAGACACTACAACATCAGACAATATCCCATACATAACCACTAGAGAAAGTGCTGTAGACACAACAGTATCTGAAGGTACTACTTCCATCACAACAGACAGTCGCATAGACACTACATCCGACAATACACCATACATCACTACTACAGAGAGCACTGTCGCCACCTCAATTTCTGAAGGTTCTACTTCCATAACAACAGACATTGCCATAGACACCACAACATCAGACAATACCTCTTACATAACCACTATAGAGAGCACTGTGGATACAACATTATCTGATGATAAAACTTCCATCACAACAGACAGTTCCATACACTCTACAACAACAGAAAATACCTCTTACATCACTTCTACAGAGAGCACTGCAGATACAACATTACCTGATGGTTCTACTTCAATCACGACTACAGACAGTTCCATAGACACTACATCAGACAATACCCGATACATCGCTACTACAGGGATAACTGCAGCCACAACAGTATCTGAAGGTACAACTTCCATCACAACGGACAGTCAAGTAGACACTAGAACATTAGACAATACTCCCTATATAACCACTACAGAGAGCACTGTAGACACAACAGTATCTGAAGGTACTACTTCCATCACAACAGACAGTTCAAAATACACTACATCAAGCAATACCCCATACATCATTACTACAGAGAGCATTGTCGCAACCACAATGTCTGAAGGTTTTACTTCCATCACAACAGACAGCCCCATAGACACTACAACATCAGACAATACCCCATACATAAGCACTACTGAGAGTGCTGCAGATACAACAGTATCTGAAGGTGATACTTCCATCACGACAACAGACATTCCCATACACACTAAAACATCAGACAATATCACTTACATCACTACTACACGGAGCACTGTAGACACAACAATGTCTGAAGGTTCTACATGCACCACAACAACAGACAGTCCCATACACATTACATCAGAGAATACCCCATACATCACTAGTACAGAGAGTGCCGTAGACACAACAATGTCTGAAGGTTCTACATCCATCACGACAAAAGACAGTCCCATAGACACTACAACATCAGACAATACTATAACCACTACAGAAAGCACTGTAGACACAACAGTATCTGAAGGTACTAGTTCCATCACAATAGATAGTTCAATAGACACTACATCAAACAATACCCCATACATTACTACCATAGAGAGCACAGTCGCCACCACAATGTCTGGTGGTTCTGCCTCAATCACGACAACAGACACTTCCATAGACACTACAACATCAGACAATACCCCATACATAACCACTTCAGAGAGTGCTGTAGACACAACTATGTCCGAAGGATCTACATCCATTACGACAACAGACAGTCCCATAGACACTACATCAGATAATACTCCATACATCACTACTACAGACAGCACTGTAGCCACAACAGTATATGAAGGTTCTACATCCATTAGGACAACAGAAAGTCCCATAGACACTAAAACGTCAGACAATACCACTTACATCACTACCCCACAGAGCACTGTAGATACAACAGTATCTGAAGGTACTACTTCCATCACAACAGACAGTCACATAGACACTACAACATCAGACAATATCCCATACATAACCACTAGAGAAAGTGCTGTAGACACAACAGTATCTGAAGGTACTACTTCCATCACAACAGACAGTCGCATAGACACTACATCCGACAATACACCATACATCACTACTACAGAGAGCACTGTCGCCACCTCAATTTCTGAAGGTTCTACTTCCATAACAACAGACATTGCCATAGACACCACAACATCAGACAATACCTCTTACATAACCACTATAGAGAGCACTGTGGATACAACATTATCTGATGATAAAACTTCCATCACAACAGACAGTTCCATACACTCTACAACAACAGAAAATACCTCTTACATCACTTCTACAGAGAGCACTGCAGATACAACATTACCTGATGGTTCTACTTCAATCACGACTACAGACAGTTCCATAGACACTACATCAGACAATACCCGATACATCGCTACTACAGGGATAACTGCAGCCACAACAGTATCTGAAGGTACAACTTCCATCACAACGGACAGTCAAGTAGACACTAGAACATTAGACAATACTCCCTATATAACCACTACAGAGAGCACTGTAGACACAACAGTATCTGAAGGTACTACTTCCATCACAACAGACAGTTCAAAATACACTACATCAAGCAATACCCCATACATCATTACTACAGAGAGCATTGTCGCAACCACAATGTCTGAAGGTTTTACTTCCATCACAACAGACAGCCCCATAGACACTACAACATCAGACAATACCCCATACATAAGCACTACTGAGAGTGCTGCAGATACAACAGTATCTGAAGGTGATACTTCCATCACGACAACAGACATTCCCATACACACTAAAACATCAGACAATATCACTTACATCACTACTACACGGAGCACTGTAGACACAACAATGTCTGAAGGTTCTACATTCACCACAACAACAGACAGTCCCATACACATTACATCAGAGAATACCCCATACATCACTAGTACAGAGAGTGCCGTAGACACAACAATGTCTGAAGGTTCTACATCCATCACGACAAAAGACAGTCCCATAGACACTACAACATCAGACAATACTATAACCACTACAGAAAGCACTGTAGACACAACAGTATCTGAAGGTACTAGTTCCATCACAATAGATAGTTCAATAGACACTACATCAAACAATACCCCATACATTACTACCATAGAGAGCACAGTCGCCACCACAATGTCTGGTGGTTCTGCCTCAATCACGACAACAGACACTTCCATAGACACTACAACATCAGACAATACCCCATACATAACCACTTCAGAGAGTGCTGTAGACACAACTATGTCCGAAGGATCTACATCCATTTCGACAACAGACAGTCCCATAGACACTACATCAGATAATACTCCATACATCACTACTACAGACAGCACTGTAGCCACAACAGTATATGAAGGTTCTACATCCATTAGGACAACAGAAAGTCCCATAGACACTAAAACGTCAGACAATACCACTTACATCACTACCCCACAGAGCACTGTAGATACAACAGTATCTGAAGGTACTACTTCCATCACAACAGACAGTCACATAGACACTACAACATCAGACAATATCCCATACATAACCACTAGAGAAAGTGCTGTAGACACAACAGTATCTGAAGGTACTACTTCCATCACAACAGACAGTCGCATAGACACTACATCCGACAATACACCATACATCACTACTACAGAGAGCACTGTCGCCACCTCAATTTCTGAAGGTTCTACTTCCATAACAACAGACATTGCCATACCTCTTACATAACCACTATAGAGAGCACTGTGGATAACAACAGACATTGACACCACAACATCAGACAATACCTCTTACATAACCACTATAGAGAGCACTGTGGATACAACATTATCTGATGATAAAACTTCCATCACAACAGACAGTTCCATACACTCTACAACAACAGAAAATACCTCTTACATCACTTCTACAGAGAGCACTGCAGATACAACATTACCTGATGGTTCTACTTCAATCACGACTACAGACAGTTCCATAGACACTACATCAGACAATACCCGATACATCGCTACTACAGGGATAACTGCAGCCACAACAGTATCTGAAGGTACAACTTCCATCACAACGGACAGTCAAGTAGACACTAGAACATTAGACAATACTCCCTATATAACCACTACAGAGAGCACTGTAGACACAACAGTATCTGAAGGTACTACTTCCATCACAACAGACAGTTCAAAATACACTACATCAAGCAATACCCCATACATCATTACTACAGAGAGCATTGTCGCAACCACAATGTCTGAAGGTTTTACTTCCATCACAACAGACAGCCCCATAGACACTACAACATCAGACAATACCCCATACATAAGCACTACTGAGAGTGCTGCAGATACAACAGTATCTGAAGGTGATACTTCCATCACGACAACAGACATTCCCATACACACTAAAACATCAGACAATATCACTTACATCACTACTACACGGAGCACTGTAGACACAACAATGTCTGAAGGTTCTACATTCACCACAACAACAGACAGTCCCATACACATTACATCAGAGAATACCCCATACATCACTAGTACAGAGAGTGCCGTAGACACAACAATGTCTGAAGGTTCTACATCCATCACGACAAAAGACAGTCCCATAGACACTACAACATCAGACAATACTATAACCACTACAGAAAGCACTGTAGACACAACAGTATCTGAAGGTACTAGTTCCATCACAATAGATAGTTCAATAGACACTACATCAAACAATACCCCATACATTACTACCATAGAGAGCACAGTCGCCACCACAATGTCTGGTGGTTCTGCCTCAATCACGACAACAGACACTTCCATAGACACTACAACATCAGACAATACCCCATACATAACCACTTCAGAGAGTGCTGTAGACACAACTATGTCCGAAGGATCTACATCCATTACGACAACAGACAGTCCCATAGACACTACATCAGATAATACTCCATACATCACTACTACAGACAGCACTGTAGCCACAACAGTATATGAAGGTTCTACATCCATTAGGACAACAGAAAGTCCCATAGACACTAAAACGTCAGACAATACCACTTACATCACTACCCCACAGAGCACTGTAGATACAACAGTATCTGAAGGTACTACTTCCATCACAACAGACAGTCACATAGACACTACAACATCAGACAATATCCCATACATAACCACTAGAGAAAGTGCTGTAGACACAACAGTATCTGAAGGTACTACTTCCATCACAACAGACAGTCGCATAGACACTACATCCGACAATACACCATACATCACTACTACAGAGAGCACTGTCGCCACCTCAATTTCTGAAGGTTCTACTTCCATAACAACAGACATTGCCATAGACACCACAACATCAGACAATACCTCTTACATAACCACTATAGAGAGCACTGTGGATACAACATTATCTGATGATAAAACTTCCATCACAACAGACAGTTCCATACACTCTACAACAACAGAAAATACCTCTTACATCACTTCTACAGAGAGCACTGCAGATACAACATTACCTGATGGTTCTACTTCAATCACGACTACAGACAGTTCCATAGACACTACATCAGACAATACCCGATACATCGCTACTACAGGGATAACTGCAGCCACAACAGTATCTGAAGGTACAACTTCCATCACAACGGACAGTCAAGTAGACACTAGAACATTAGACAATACTCCCTATATAACCACTACAGAGAGCACTGTAGACACAACAGTATCTGAAGGTACTACTTCCATCACAACAGACAGTTCAAAATACACTACATCAAGCAATACCCCATACATCATTACTACAGAGAGCATTGTCGCAACCACAATGTCTGAAGGTTTTACTTCCATCACAACAGACAGCCCCATAGACACTACAACATCAGACAATACCCCATACATAAGCACTACTGAGAGTGCTGCAGATACAACAGTATCTGAAGGTGATACTTCCATCACGACAACAGACATTCCCATACACACTAAAACATCAGACAATATCACTTACATCACTACTACACGGAGCACTGTAGACACAACAATGTCTGAAGGTTCTACATTCACCACAACAACAGACAGTCCCATACACATTACATCAGAGAATACCCCATACATCACTAGTACAGAGAGTGCCGTAGACACAACAATGTCTGAAGGTTCTACATCCATCACGACAAAAGACAGTCCCATAGACACTACAACATCAGACAATACTATAACCACTACAGAAAGCACTGTAGACACAACAGTATCTGAAGGTACTAGTTCCATCACAATAGATAGTTCAATAGACACTACATCAAACAATACCCCATACATTACTACCATAGAGAGCACAGTCGCCACCACAATGTCTGGTGGTTCTGCCTCAATCACGACAACAGACACTTCCATAGACACTACAACATCAGACAATACCCCATACATAACCACTTCAGAGAGTGCTGTAGACACAACTATGTCCGAAGGATCTACATCCATTACGACAACAGACAGTCCCATAGACACTACATCAGATAATACTCCATACATCACTACTACAGACAGCACTGTAGCCACAACAGTATATGAAGGTTCTACATCCATTAGGACAACAGAAAGTCCCATAGACACTAAAACGTCAGACAATACCACTTACATCACTACCCCACAGAGCACTGTAGATACAACAGTATCTGAAGGTACTACTTCCATCACAACAGACAGTCACATAGACACTACAACATCAGACAATATCCCATACATAACCACTAGAGAAAGTGCTGTAGACACAACAGTATCTGAAGGTACTACTTCCATCACAACAGACAGTCGCATAGACACTACATCCGACAATACACCATACATCACTACTACAGAGAGCACTGTCGCCACCTCAATTTCTGAAGGTTCTACTTCCATAACAACAGACATTGCCATAGACACCACAACATCAGACAATACCTCTTACATAACCACTATAGAGAGCACTGTGGATACAACATTATCTGATGATAAAACTTCCATCACAACAGACAGTTCCATACACTCTACAACAACAGAAAATACCTCTTACATCACTTCTACAGAGAGCACTGCAGATACAACATTACCTGATGGTTCTACTTCAATCACGACTACAGACAGTTCCATAGACACTACATCAGACAATACCCGATACATCGCTACTACAGGGATAACTGCAGCCACAACAGTATCTGAAGGTACAACTTCCATCACAACGGACAGTCAAGTAGACACTAGAACATTAGACAATACTCCCTATATAACCACTACAGAGAGCACTGTAGACACAACAGTATCTGAAGGTACTACTTCCATCACAACAGACAGTTCAAAATACACTACATCAAGCAATACCCCATACATCATTACTACAGAGAGCATTGTCGCAACCACAATGTCTGAAGGTTTTACTTCCATCACAACAGACAGCCCCATAGACACTACAACATCAGACAATACCCCATACATAAGCACTACTGAGAGTGCTGCAGATACAACAGTATCTGAAGGTGATACTTCCATCACGACAACAGACATTCCCATACACACTAAAACATCAGACAATATCACTTACATCACTACTACACGGAGCACTGTAGACACAACAATGTCTGAAGGTTCTACATTCACCACAACAACAGACAGTCCCATACACATTACATCAGAGAATACCCCATACATCACTAGTACAGAGAGTGCCGTAGACACAACAATGTCTGAAGGTTCTACATCCATCACGACAAAAGACAGTCCCATAGACACTACAACATCAGACAATACTATAACCACTACAGAAAGCACTGTAGACACAACAGTATCTGAAGGTACTAGTTCCATCACAATAGATAGTTCAATAGACACTACATCAAACAATACCCCATACATTACTACCATAGAGAGCACAGTCGCCACCACAATGTCTGGTGGTTCTGCCTCAATCACGACAACAGACACTTCCATAGACACTACAACATCAGACAATACCCCATACATAACCACTTCAGAGAGTGCTGTAGACACAACTATGTCCGAAGGATCTACATCCATTACGACAACAGACAGTCCCATAGACACTACATCAGATAATACTCCATACATCACTACTACAGACAGCACTGTAGCCACAACAGTATATGAAGGTTCTACATCCATTAGGACAACAGAAAGTCCCATAGACACTAAAACGTCAGACAATACCACTTACATCACTACCCCACAGAGCACTGTAGATACAACAGTATCTGAAGGTACTACTTCCATCACAACAGACAGTCACATAGACACTACAACATCAGACAATATCCCATACATAACCACTAGAGAAAGTGCTGTAGACACAACAGTATCTGAAGGTACTACTTCCATCACAACAGACAGTCGCATAGACACTACAACATCAGACAATACTACTTATATAACCAGTACAGAAAGCACTGTAGACACAACAGTATCTGAAGGTACTAGTTCCATCACAATAGAGAGTTCAATAGACACTACATCAGACAATACCCCATACATTACTACCATAGAGAGCACAGTCGCCACCACAATGTCTGGTAGTTTTGCCTCAATCACGACAACAGACACTTCCATAGACACTACAACATCAGACAATACCCCATACATAACCACTTCAGAGAGTGCTGTAGACACAACTATGTCTGAAGGATCTACATCCACTACGACAACAGACAGTCCCATAGACACTACATCGGATAATACCTTATACATCACTAGTACAGAGAGTGCTGTAGACACAACAATGTCTGAAGGTTCTACTTCCATCACAACAGACAGTTCAAAATACACTACATTAAGCAATACCCCATACATCATTACTACAGAGAGCATTGTCGCCACCACAATGTCGGAAGGTTTTACTTCCATAACAACAGACATTCCCATAGACACTACAACATCAGACAATACCCCAAACATAACCCTTACTGAGAGTGCTGCAGATACAACATTACCTGAAGGTGATACTTCCATCACAACAGACATTCCCATATACACTACAATATCAGACAATACCACTTACATCACTACTACACAGAGCACTGTAGACACAACAATGTCTGAAGGTTCTACTTCCATAACAACTGACACTCCCATAAACACTACAAAATCGGACAATACCCCATATATAACCACTATTGAGAGTGCTGCAGATACAACATTATCTGAAGGTGATACTTCCATCACAACGGACAGTCCCATAGACACTACAACATCAGACAATGTCCCATACATAACGACTACTGAGAGTGCTGCAGATACAACATTATCTGAAGGTGACACTTCCATCACGACAACAGACATTCCCATAGACACCACAACATCAGAAAACACCTCTTACATCACTTCTACAGAGAGTGCTGTAGACACAACAATGTCTGAAGGTTCTACATCCATCACGACAACAGACAGCCCCATAGACACTACATCAGACAATACCCCATACATCACTACTACAGAGATAGCTGTAGACACAAAAGTATTTGATGATACTGCTTCCATCACGACAACAGGCAATCTTGATGACATAACAATATCAGATGGTAGTAATTCAATCACCGCAAGAGAGAGTCCTACAGACACGACAACGTCGTATTATGATAATTCTCGAAGAGACTCTACGACAATCGGACAGTTGTTAGAGATGTCTCCACATCCCATTGTGCCCACCTTAATTCCCACAAGGTTGACATCCCCTACAGGTAAATGTATAATGACACTTGTTTTCTTGATGTGCTAACTACCATTATAGCCAATACGAACTGATATTACGAACTCTATACTATAATCATCTTTTGGTTCTTAGTGAAAGATATCTGATTTAATGTGTTTTAGTCAGTTGAGATATTTGTTCGTTATAGTAATCATTCTCAGAATTGACACGGTCCGTTGTACAGATTTTCTTATCTTTATATTGTATTATATTGTATTCTAGGTGGAAGAGTATTACTTTGTGAGAGTGAAACCAAAACTATCACCTGTACGTTGCCTTATGTGATCAATATCATAGAAACTTGGCACGGCCGGAATGATACAGCGATATGCCGTGCAGAGATGACGTCAACGTTGTGTCATTCTGACGTAACAACGACGAAAACAGTAATCAACAAGGCTTGTCAAGACAAGAGTATCTGTATTCTATCGGCTGTCCCTCATATGTATGGAAACGCTTGCATTGACAAACATGCTTATCTTGCGGTTGTCTACGAGTGTTCTCTACCAGGTAATAACGATTGTTTGGCAGTACAATTGATACCAATCGTGTTCTCGTGTTAACCCTACTTTGTGTCATAGATCATAAAGACACAAAGGTGGTATTAATATATCTTGAATCCTATCCTCCACATTTAGCCTTTATGGTGGTAATCATTTTGTTACGCAGAACCGGAAGTTCAACAGAAACAACAAGTTCATCAAAGCTTCCAGGCCAGTTTTACAAACATCAACTTGACGGTTGCCATTGCATGGAGAGTACAAGTGCCACACGTGGGGTCATGTGGTTTACGTTGTCGAACTGACCACACATGTGTATCTTTCGCGTTTTCCGCGAATGAGAGGATATGTCAAGGTCACAAAACCATAGCTTCAAACATGGTTAAAGGTGAAGGTCATCCAGGAAATGGAATATCCTATTTTGTTTGTAAGTGATAAAAAAGTGAATCCGTTGTAGTATATATATACGATGTAAGATAGAATCATCCCATTTAATAATGTAGTTGAGACTTAAAACATGAAATTTGTTGTTTTCACGGTTCTGAGTGCTGAGAGGGAAGACAAAATAGGGACAGGGAAATAGAAAAAAGGAAAACAGGAGACAGCAAAGATAAGAAAACAAAGAGAAGTAAAATAGAAATTTGTTATGGGAATCTGAAGGTAAAAATACTTATCTGTAAGTTATTTTATCAGCGACTTTTAAAAGTTCTATTAAGTTATATTAGATTTTTATGTTTAATTTATAGACAGAAAAAAAATACTACGGTGTTAAGGATGCATGACTAAATATATGTCTTGCAGTGAGATGGTGCGATGGTGACGGATTCGTGTATGACGTCACGGGTGTATGTTATGGGATATATGGTATTCGCCACACCCAGGCCGACGGTCAGACAGCATGCTCTCGGCACGGCATTGGATACGGAAAAGTGACGGGACAGTTAATGATTCTAGACACACCGCAAAAACTACAGGGCATGTGGGTCAAAACTCGTCAAGATTCCTGGTTAGGTGAGTGATTACATAGTCTATGTCAACGCCATAATATTACGTAGTTCCAATCTTATAGTCGTTCTAGATTGAATTAAATTTGAAATTGAAATTTGAATTACATGAAATTTCCATTGAGATGAGACAGATTGAAATGCCCGTATAACAAGTCCCAATAAGGCTCGGATTTTGATGTTATATTTCATAACTAAATACTTGCTTTAACTGCTACTCAGTTTCTTGAGGAAAATATACATCTTTGTCATTATAAGAAAAATATGGTTGTACAAATTCTGCCCGGCATCTGTGTCTTTACCATTTTATCCGTATCACAAATTCTGACATGCTATATACAGACATGTATTTCTAATCTTGCCACTGAATCATTATAAGCATCTGATGTATTTCAGTACTGTAACATTAATATAAATTTTGTGTTGTAGCACAGGAAAGTTTGTTTATTGTTTCCGGTGGCAGGAATGAGATTGGTGATTGGACATTCCATGACGGATCCATCATTCCGGACGATATGTGGGTCCAAGGAGTTCTGGAAACCCACTCTGGAGTCTGTGTCTCAATGTCACGTGATGGTCTTGTGCCAATTGACTGTGCCACAAAACGTTTCTTCATGTGTGAAAAAGTTGTATTAAAACAAATAACATGACATCCATGTGCATGCAGCATGAATTTAATAACCTAAGTTCTTCCATTATTTTCTTCAATATTCCGTATAATTATTATTGTTCTTAAAAATTGTTTTTTTAATAAAAATGAATAACTACTAATCTTCTACATTATGTTTAGTTTCACCTTGATGTTGTGTTCTTTAAATGACTATCGATGTAAAAGATGGCAAAATCACGTTGGCTGCTAAAACAGAATACTGACAGGTCGCCATTCATACAAGAAAATGAGGTGTTTCACAATGAGGTAACATAAGTGCATGAAACATGTCCATCACTTCATCAATCTCAGCAAACTCCATATCATTAATGTATTTCAACGGTCAAAATGTATCGGCAACAATGAACATTGTACATAATTGTATCAACATTTATATCTCCAAACCTCGTAGTTTAGATGCCCCTCATCAGTTAACATCTTACAATAAAATCGTAAGACAAAGTAGCATTTTAATTTCGAACAGCAATGGTATACACAGCAGTTCAATTAGTAGTTTAATTAGTATAAGTGGTTAACGGCAAAAATTGGCAATGATAAGATCACATTGTTTGAAACCTGGAAAGAGAACTCAATGCAACATGACGAGCTGAACAATATTTAAATGAAGTTTGACTTCAGAAGACTTATGGTCATTGTATAGAATCTGATTACTGAGGAACTTAATCTAGTTAGGCAGTATAGCAATCACTCAAAGGTTAAGTACCATGAAAACACATATCTTCAATTTGCCATACTTTATTGGATTCAATGGCAAGTTTTAATACAGAAACAACAACAACAAGAGTTCGTAGGCATAATGTGTTGCCCTGAGACTGTATGGGCATAGTTCAATATATCATTCAAATGATAACTTTCAAGATTTTACATGATTTTGCCTTACAGGAAAAATATGACATGTTTAGCTTTCAGTGTTTTCGGTCAATAAAAATAAGTTATTTTATTTAAGTCCAAAATAGTCCAACTTGGCCATTTCATCATAAACATCACAAACAATGCACTGTATTTGTCGTAAGCATATGTTGCTCAGGGATATGTTAAAGTTGAGTTATTTTACATGACGGACTACTCCCGTTATGAGTTCAAAAAGAATCAGAGAAGCAAGAAGCAAGAACAGGTAAAGAGGTTGAATGGTTGAATGGTATCCAATTTCAGATATATTTATCAGTTGTATCTTCACACCACTGTTTGACAAATTACAGGGTTGCTAGAGCCATTACTATCAAACGTTTTAATAACAGAGGCCCAAGGAGTCTGTATCACTTACCTAGCTAATTCAGCTTTTCAGTCATTTACTAAATGATTTATGAAATGAAGAATAAGTTCTGATATGATTTCCCTACTGGTCCAAGCCTTTGGTCAAACAGAAATCAGATTCACCATTCATAAAAGTTGTTTCAGACCAAATTTGGACAATATCCTAATATGGATGAAATATTTTAAGAACTTACATTTCCGATACAAAATACCCAACAATGCTTCACAGCACAATGGGAGACAATCCAGTTATTTCTGTAGTACAGGAAGGACTTTAAAGTATTTCTTTTTATTTACCTTATTGGGCCCCCGCAACTCCCTCCCATTGCGTTGAGACCCACCATTTATACTAGATTGATACTTCTTCAATTGGGAAAGAATCCTTACATCCCTTCAGAAAACAGAAAGATTTAAAGATTTTGCTCTATTTCACATTATTAGGCTTTGACTTTCCCATCCTTGGTTGCTGCAATCCATCGCTCATGCTCAATTTATTCCCCTTCAAACCAAATTTCAGCTAATTCAACCATACAGGAAGAGTAGTACTTGAAAATTTTCCTTTTTGAGTCCCATCCCTCAGTCACTCCTCTGGGAACTGAGGGCATAGACCCACCATTTATAAAAAATCTATTCCCCTCACATATTTTAAAGCCCTGATGTTACTGATATCAACAGCCAATAAAGTAACATAACATTATCAAGCCTCTGTGATAACAGATACTGACCGCCAATGGAGTAACAAAACATTATCAGGCCTCTCTGATTACTGGTATTAACAGCCAATGGACTAACACAACCTTATCAGGTCTCTGCGATTATTAAAACATGTTTCATACGAAGTGTTAAATGTGGTCAAGATACTGTAATCACAACAAAAACTAAAGTGACAGTTTATGGTAGTCCTCGCGATCACCATTATAAGACTTTTCTCAATAAGAGAAAGATTCCCAGACAACTACAATCTCTTATACAACAGACAATCTAGGGACATCAGGTGCTCGGGCCTTGGTGATAAACAGACAATCTAGGGACATCAGGTGGTCAGGCCTCCATGATAAACAGACAATCTAGGGACATCAGGTGGTCAGGCCTCCATGATAAACAGAAATCTAGGGACATCAGGTGGTCAGACCCATATAACAACTTATACAACAGACAATTTAGGGACATTAGGTGTCAGGCCCCTGTGATAAAACAATCTAGAGGCATCAGGTGCTCAGGCCCCGTTGATATAACAGACAATTGAGGGACATTAGGTGTCAGGCCCCTGTGATAAAACAAACAATTTAGAGGCATCAGGTGCTCAGGCCCCGGTGATATAACAGACAATTGAGGGACATTAGGTGTCAGGCCCCTGTGATATAACAGACAATTTAGGGACATCTGGTGGTCAGGCCCCTGTGAAATGACAGACAACTGAGGGACATTAGGTATCAGGCTCCTGTGATATAACAGTCAGTCTAGGGGCATCAGGTGCTCAGACCCTTGTGGCAATTCATACAGATGATAATGACATAATGACAGGTTGGAAGGTGGTCAGCTACTGTGATCAATGTCAACAGTCCACTCACTGAATGAGACCTAGATATAACTGTCTTCATAACCAAAAGAGAACTGTTATAACACATTTTCAATGATCTTATCTCTCATTGTATTGCTATATAAGGTAAATATTATCCAAATAAAATGATAAAACCTTCAAAATAATTTAAATAAAGGCACATTTTATCTTCTTCTTAAAAACATCAATCAAACTTTTGTGGCTTACTCATGTTTCTGAACATTAATTTACAATATATCTAAACATATATCAAAAGTCCACTTTGTGTGTTAATGGTGTTTCATACGTGACTCCAGGTAAAATGTCAAATCTTAACTAAAATTAAAAGTGGGACAAACAAATCAACATTTCAAACTCTACAACAAATACTGATGTTATACATCAAACATAATTGAACATCCCTTTCTAAATTTTAGTACTTTTCAACACGGAAATAGTTGTATTATTTTACAAGGTGTCTTTTATTTCATGGCATTAAACAGATCAAAGAGGTTTTGGTGAATTTTTAAACAAGTTATACTTGCAAGTTTTTTAGCACATATTTTGTACTATCTAGATTTTTTCGAACAGCTGCATGACTACGAAAATTAGGAACTATGCTGAAAACACACCAAATTGGTACTAGACTCTTGTCAATCTTCAATTATAAATGTTTCTGAGCTGTAGGCACTGAAATCTCCTGATCCTTAACACAACCCTTTTTTATTCTGGGCCGATGTAAGCCTATTTTCAATACATAAACATACTAACCTGTGTGTTAATCATTGGGAGTAATAATTGTTCAGTCATTACCCAACATCAAATTAATCAATTTCTTCAACACAAGAGGCACTTGAGGCCTGTATTGCTCACCTGGATATTTTAGCTTTAACTTTAAAGCATTCTTATTTACAATCATATTGTTACATGTTCCCCAAAAGATTAGGAATTTTAAAACTTCAAAAATAGATATCAACAAAATACCTTCATCCAAGCAGAAAAAAAATTATTTAAACTCTTACCCTGATCACAAATATTGGGCTCTTGATAAAGACATTTGGTCAAAATACTTTCACTTTTGCAAAAGAAAAAAGGTGGATTTCAAAGATTACTACATCTATTAACTATATTGGGCCAGTCTCAAAATCCTCAATAGAGTCTGACCTACATTTTATACAGAATTGAGTTCCTTTTATCAAAGCAAGCTTTTAACTACTTAGTTTGAACAAAGTTCTATCATTCCTAGTACAAAGACCCCAGTGGTATGGCCAAACATATATACAGAAGAGGTATTTTAAAGAATTAGCTCTATTTCCCCTAGTTGGTCCTGCTCCTAAAGCCCCATGGGACCGAAAACCCAATGTTTAAACAAAATTAATTCCCCTTTATCCAAGAATGCTTCAGACAGAATTGGAACAATGGGGTCAGACTCACCATTTAAACAAAATGCAGTTCTTTCCCCTCCTTCCCCTAAGGATGCCTTTGGTAACAATTTGCTTAATCATTCATGACTAGAAGTACTTTAAAGAGCTTGTTGACAGACGACAGATGCCATTTTACAGCAAAAGTTTACATTGGTTCTCAAACCAGGTGAACTTACACTATAGAACGTATTCGTAATTCTATTTTAAACCTGAACACAAACTCCAACCAAATAAATATACACACTCTGGAATATTTGGCACTTGGAATAAAATTAAACAATATCAAATGAAACAATGAATCACAAATAAGGACAGTTGATAAAACACAACATAATATGTAAATTGTAACAAATGTTTACAAAGTCAACACAATACAAAATATGTAATCATTTGTTCCAGTACTATTGTATCCACTTGTTTTCAAATTAAAAACTGACCAGGAATATCTATCAAGAACACATCAAAATATCTTTAAATTTGAGGAAAATAACTTTTTAAAATGCATCTTTCTCCTTTTTTCCAAATAATGGCATTTGTTGCTTATAAATACACATGAATCATTCTATATGAAGTCAGAGGTAGCTTCACTCTCAATTTGGAGTGACAATCTCACAGCATAAACTCTAATTTCCTGAAATATTCATCCTTTCCAGAGCACAATAAAGTCATGATCAACAATTAATAGAAGTATTGTCTTCACTATAAGAAGTTTGTTTCCTATATCCATCTCCATTTATAAGCCATTGTCATGAATAAAAATATTTGAGATCAATAAACCTTCTGTCATGAAAATAAAAATGTTTGAAACATTAAGAGTCAAATTAAGAAAATGTTTATTCATTTAACATTTTTATCATTTTTTTTACAAAGAGTAAATTCAATATGAATTCAAAAGTCATTTATAAAATGATAACATTTCAAAATTATTTTAGAAATGATATGAGAGGACAGTTTAAAAATTCAAACTGTAAAACCACTTATTGTTTATCAGTGAGTTTTTTCAAAGAACTGGCAAAGACAAGAGTAGGAATACCGAAACATGAAATCCTTTAGAGTACATTTGTACATATTGAATTTATTTGCACAGAAATAACATGCATGTAAAGACCTATTTGTTTAAAAAAGTCATACCAAATTTGGTAATCCAAAAAGGACAGTGCAAATTTTACCAGAAATATCTAAAAAAAAAAGCTATACAAATATTTCATTTACGAAAATATTTTATTTGCTAAGAAAGCTGAATTTTTAAAAAATATTGTAAGAAATTAAATTAATTTTTAGTTTTATTGAATATAGAAAGTGCTTCATTTAATTCCAAGAGAATATAAAAAAAGTCAATTTTAAAAGTCATACAACATACAAATGCAAGAACATGGTATCTGCCAAATGGCTAAATTAGAATAATTGGTCTCATTTCATAACACAGAATGAAACTAACTAAAAGACAATGATGTCATCTTTTGTCAGAAGGTGCAGGTCCTCTAAAAAAGGATACTAGTGACGCTGCAGCTGATGTGACAAATGCACTGGCAGTGAGATGAGCAGGATCTGACGTAGGAGGCGCATAAGAAGTAGATTGTAAAGTGGAACTAAACACTGCACGATTCCCAATCTCACTTTCGTCTATGTCATGAGGTACTTCCTCCCAGTCTGGTGGCAGACCAATCTCACCTTCTCGTGTGAAGAGTTCAGCCTGACAATCATCTTCTTCTCGTTCCTCGTCTGTTGATACAGTTATCTCCCCTACAGACTGGAGCAGTTCCTGATTCACAATAAAGGATTGCACTCTGTGAAAAAAAAAATTTGAGATGTGGTTGATTTCAATACAAATAAGAGTTTGTAGAAAAGACTATGAATTGTTGCAGTTAAAAATTATTGATAAATCACTGCCATAAAAAATTGTACATTCTCCATTTTTTGTAGTTTTCAAAGCTGATACTAACTGGATATTAAATAAATTTCATTAATACTTATTTGTATCTATATAATAACACTTGAAGTTACACCTTTGTTTCCCCATACATCAGTTTATAGTTATATCTTTGCTTCATTCTTAATTAAATACAACCAAGATTCTGTTCATCATAGAGATTTATCATAAAGAAAACCCCAAATTAGGCAACAGTATAATTAACCTTCCTAGACTTGTGTGTCTCACGAGGAGGCAGATATTCCCTAATGTGTTTCTGGGATCAATAAGGGGACATTCAGCTAGACCCTGGGAGAAGCAGATGTACAGTAAATTCTGGTTGAGGCAAGCAACAGAGTTCCGAAAGTTCTTCTCAGTGAGCTCAGCACCACAGAATACACTGAAAATAAAAGTCCAAAATAAAAAATTAACAAAACTTCACTTGAATTTAATCAATTAGTTAGAACATTTAAAATCCAATGTAAAAAAAGCAAGCTGCACTACCTCAACAAAAACTGCAGAACAAGCAACAGAGAAATGCTAATCTAATTTTTACTTCCTGCAATTCTTTTTGTGAATCCCGAATGTGTGAAACTATTTCCTACCAACAAATCTGTGGACCTGAGTGGTGTGATAACTTGTTCCCTCTCCTCCTGTTCCTACCTGTAACTCTTTCTGTTAAAACAGAGTGGTGTGATAATGTGTTCCTGTTTGTATCTCTATATGTGAACTAGAGTGATAGCTTACTCCCACCTGTAATTCTGTATGTGAACCAGAGTGGTACAACAATACAACCCTACTTGTAATTCTGTCTGCAAACCAGAATGGTAAAACAACATTACACTACCTGTAATTCTGACAGTTAACCTGAGTGGTACACCAACATTACCCTAATTGTAATTCTGTCTGTTAGCCAGAGCAGTACAACAATAAAACCCTACCTATAATTCTGTCTGTGAACCAGAGTGGTACAACAACATTACACTACCTGTAATTCTGTCTGTGAACCATAGTGGTACAACATTACAACCCTACCTGTAATTCTGTCAGTTAACCAGAGTGGTACAACAACATAACCCTACCTGTAATTCTGTCTGTGAACTAAAGGTACATCTAACAGAGATGATAGAATGGACACCAACTGACTGGCATAACACAGTGCTGCACTGATTCTGTGACCAGGATTGCGTAAACTATTGTCAGGGTCACCATTGTTCTCACGAGTTGTAGCCACTGAAAAACAAGTCACATTTGAATCAGGCATTTCATATCTAAACAAAGCAAGACATCAAGCTTATAAAAGAATTGTGAAGGATTACTTTGAAATCTATAAAACTTTATTTGAAAATAAGTGTGTTATCAAGAGCATATTTATTAAAAATTTGGAGAAACAAAAACTGATCATTGTGTTGACAATCCTCTTGATCTTACCCCATATATTATATGGTGAATAGTCACCACTAGATGGCAGTGTAGGTTCTACAATGCGGAAGTCACCATCATTGCCATCTGTGTACACCCATTGACCTCTGATATATGTTGTGTGGCTAGCATCTCGTAGGGCTTTTTCTGTACTGGCCGAGTTTGCACTCTCTTCTACCACACTGTAACACAAGGCAGTAAGATGCATTTGAAGATTGATTACTGTATAAGAAGGTTATTTTCTGGGTAAAGTTCACCTATTTATTCTAATGAGGACAACAGAGATTTGTTTATCATTTCCAATTTTTTCATACCTCCTTTATAAATGAACCTACATTCATTTCAAAAGTTTAATTTATTTTCTTCATTCATTAATTTCAACTAAAAGAAAAGACATTTTCCAGAAAATTCCATACATCACATGTCATTTTGACATTCAATTTTTTGAAATCTTGACTCCAAGGGTTTTGATTTGACTCTCACGATTCAAGAGTTTGAGTCACCGACTCTTGAGATTGTAGCCACAATTTCTGAATTATATGGTAAAAAAACCTCATTAGGCATTTGAATGATGCTTTATAGAAGCAAAAAAACAACATCAGCTCATAGTACACATCAATATTTTGATTTATTTTCTGATGGAGTGATGTTATGTAACTTTACCTGTCACGCTTGACTTCCAATACTGGAAATATGTAATGAGTCAGATCAGCCACATGTTTCCTTCTCTCTTTTGATAGATTCTCCAGGACATCTCCCAGCGAGCTTAATTTCACGCCATTTGATGACCTTATGAGCTTGATGTAATCCTTTATTCTCTGCTTCTTCTCCATGTGATTGCGACCTTTCACACGCCTGGCATAGTTCTCTCGACTCATCACATCTAACTCTTGCCTTTCTAATTGAAGAAAACCAATAGGATACCAGTTATATCATTAAGTTTTCTTATTTTCTGATATAAAATTCCTATGTCAGGAGTTTTCAAATTTGTGAAATGAAGATAGAGATATCTCAACTAGAGCAAAATGTTTCTGAAGTTTAACATGTGGTTTTGTACAGTGTTAAACTCATTCCTTTGGATTAAGATTTTACTGTCTGCAATACAAAGCCCCAAATTTTATTACTACAAGCTCATGACTTCTAATCAATGCTGCTTGAAATATATGACAGTAATCCAATGTGCTTATGCTACAAAAAGTGATAAAGCAAACCCTATCATAATGTATTCAGGTAGAAATGAAAGATTGCAATTTAATCCTACAATTTTTTCCATCTTTCTAATGATACTATATCACTGTCTAGCAAGTATTACATATGTGCACTGAACAATTTGTGTATCACAAATCAGACAAACCTTAGACTTTGAGCAAGGTAAATTTGTTTCACTAGCAACTGTGACCAACTTTAACCATATCATGAAATACCTGTTGATTTCATCTCCTTTGAAGCAGCCAGTGTTAGTTTCAGCAATGCAATTTTCCTCTTACATTCTTGGATATCTTGTTTCTAATAAAAGAGAAATTTGTTATAATTATCATTGTGAGAAATTCTTTAATTACTGAATAGACGACTACCAGTAATATATCAAAAATGATTCCTGTGCCTTCCAAAGCAACAATTTATATTCATAAAACAAGAATTATTATACGGATGTAAGATGATGCACTTTCGATCACATGTGTTTTCTTTCATTTACAGCTTTAGTATATATTCATCTGAATAACTGAGAAAGCACTTAAATAGAAGACTGAAAAGTATGACCATAACTTTGAATTTTCTGCATATGAAGTGTTTAAATGTTTAATACATTCAGCCAATTAGTGAAGAAATAAAAGAAGATAAAAGGTATACATATGAAGTCATTGTAATTACCTTTTTATCAATGGCATGTTTCTTGTATACTGACTTTCTCACTCTAAAATAAAAGATTGTACATGTACAAATGGTGTGGCTATTAAAGCCATAGATCAACCCTAATGTTCTTAATAATCTTTAAAAACTGATACCATGCATGATATATGCATTATATTCAGAAAATGAAAAAAAAAAAAAAAAAAAACGAAAAAGCAATTTATAAAAATATATATTTCAAGCTGAACCGAGACTGCTTTCTTGGAAATTTACTGAAATCATCAACAAAGATGATAGGAGGGTAATCATCCTTGATACTCCAGAGGATCATCTCTGCTCTCTGCACCCCTAGAACATGTCATGGCAAAATTGAAGGCACAAGCAAATTAATTTTATAGGTTTTAGGAGAAAAAAAACTAACCACTCACAGGCTGATACGTTCGATTTGGAGATTACAAAGGAGCGACAACCAACTTCACAGCCATAACAATATACCATTATGGGACCTAGAAATTCTGTTGATGTTCATCAAAGGATCAAACTAGTCTTGTGCCTTACACATGGAACTTTCACTTTTGCCAGAGGTACAGAGAACGAAAGTGACTGTAACACGTGGAGTATAGAAGATTCTTTCAAATTTTCACAAATAGATACAACACATAGTTATTGCATTGCAGGTGATAATAACGTGACACAAATACTGTTATCTATACCGACTTAGTAAATTAAATAAAAAATACTTACTGCTCAAGCACCGAATCTCTCTCTTTTGAAAGAATTTCTAACTTATGACTTTTATCTGTAAACCTACAAATTGGAAGTAAAAGTGAAATTTCAAACCAATGAAATTATCTATGGGCTTAGATATAATCTTAGTCCGTGGATTATCTTATAGTTCACATTTCAAGATAACACATACTCCATATACTGTAACAATGGGAAACTCGATTAGATTACGTAAGATATATATTTTTCTGATCAACAAGTAGTTAGAAAAAATAAACGCTTTGATAAAGAATTGAAATGCTCGAATAAGCATAAAATCACGAAATAGGAAGGGCGTCTGCAGTTATTCAGTAAATTTTTCCTTTTGTTTACATTTTGACTGTCACCATCTGTCAAACTACGCACCTTTCTGGGTAGGTCCCTTTCGAGTGTACGAATAGACCCTGGTTGACACACAGTTTACAATAAAAGGGTCGCTTGCTGTAATCACACACTGGACATCGTTCTACGGCAATTTTAAGACCAGATGAACTGTCAAACGATGATGATAATTCAAATTCCGTAGGCGCCTCTTGTTCTTCTGTACTTAAGGCAGCCATGTTTACCAAGTGAGCATTTATAATTTCAGTGCGGAAAAGCGGAGAGAGAATTCCGGAAAACACGTCGTCTTCAAAATATCACTCAAAAGTGACATGTTATCGAGGATTAAAAATATTTACAAATGCATGAATACACAGCAACCGTTTAAGCTACTATGAAGTTATATAATTCAACTCTAGGAAACACACGAATTTGAAATCCTACCTTGGACTAATTAAACCATTAAATACATTTCTTTTCTCAAGATAGTGTTTCGCGGAAAATCTTAACATTATTGAGTTTCTAGAAACGACTTATCATTGATACTGTATACATTACCTGATAAATTCAGATTTTATTATACGCAAAAACCATCATACCTTATGTACCATGGGGACGGAATATCCCAAGGTTTTGTAACTAGCCACGAACATAAATGTATGCATACAGCATTAGCTGATCATATCCATGTAATGACAGAGAGTGAAACATTCATAACAGATGACAGAGGGATTTCAACTTAGACAGAAGCTTTACAATTTATAGCTTGAACAGTTAAGAGGAGATATGATTATCTTCAAAACCCACTTCCATAATAAAGGAATTACAAAGCGTTTACTTCAAATTGATTCCTTATCAAGAAAAAAAAATGCAAATTAGATATAAAGACTTATGATACTCCTTTACAATTCAAGTTGTGGATATTCTGGAAATGAAGGTCCAAATTTGTACTGAGGTTGAAGATAAGTTAAGATACCCCATATATTATATGGTGAATAGTCACCACTAGATGGCAGTGTAGGTTCTACAATGCGGAAGTCACCAGCCTTAAAAATCAGTTATCGGCAGAAGTAAAGTTTATACTCTATATACAGGTACTAGAAATTATATGGATAAAGATGATTGCATCCTGTTGTAAAGGTCTCTGTATGTTTTGATTCAAGAAAACTTGAAATGCAGATAAAAAAATGTGTATTTTCGTTTTTGTTCATCCAAAAGTTAAAATATTAGTGTTTATACTCTGAAGCCATGGAAATGTTCAAGCAGTTTATTTTGTTTCATTGAATCATGAAACAGTAAGTAAACCACATACCTTCACACAAGGCGTACTTAAGGAAAATCTGCTTATAGTTAGAATGTGATATAGAAGGCATAAAGAGTGTACGCAAAATTAAGCATGATATTGCATAGGCCATGATTGACACATGGGTTTTGTGTGCGATTTCTTTGATTCTATGGAGACTTAAAGTGCACACTGAGTAAAAATAGAAATTAATTTAATGTTATTTCTTATGATACAAAAAAAAGTTGAAAACCGTATAGAAATTCGGCCGGCCTAATGCTGAGATATTTACTTGTAAACTTCCACCTGTTCAGCCTTTTAAAGGATGACTCGCACTGATTGGGACCCTGTCGACTGTGACGTCACAAGTTCAACGACTGATAGCAGGCGTCATGGAGGAAATACGCACGGTCTAGAACAGCTATGATATGCAACATGAGATTACAAATGAAGGTTTTATAGTTTTGAGGAATTATATAATTCTGACGATAACATCATGTAGACAGTAAACAGCCGTATGAAATTTGTCTGAAGTGATAATTCTAAACATATTTATTGTCAACCTTGGAACAAGAGATAAGGCACCAGTTATATACATTAATACAAGGAAACAAATACTACCATGGAAATATGCATACATTGTATATCTACAATAATTATTGCTATCAAAATCAAATTATGTTTCTAGACTTCGTGAATGACTGCATATAATGTCTGAAGATATTTGAATTAAGGTCTGCGGTAAGATAAGGACTATATGTAGAAATATATCAGTATTTTCAAAATAAATGAAACGGTGGTGTCTGCTGTTTTTGATTAATGATAACATGTAGGACAAATTATGTATGTATCATAATGACAAATCAACATTATTGTGTAATCCTTAGGTAAGGTCGACAGTTAAGATGTTTGATTATATTTATAGTCCTTTTGCACGAGACGCTAAATTATATCACGGACTTTGATAAAATACTTTAGAAATTATAGTTTTAAAGAAAATATAAATGAATCACGAGGTTCCATTGTTTTCTCCGTGTAAATGTACATGAAATATACACAAGCTATGATTCAGCATCATGATTTGATTAAGTCATTTCATTTCACTTCCTTAGTCTACTTAGGTGTGAAATATGTGTATAGATAATTTAAATAACACTAGACACACTTGTGTCACGTGCTGTCACGACAAGAGGCCCACTGTACACCTCAAAGGGATGCCAGCAGGTGGGTAAGGTGTAACCTGAACTCGAAGATAGTAAGTGGATTGGTGCAAGCTTCTTTCGATTTTCCATTTGCAACAATGTCCTCAGTCGTGATAATGAGGAAAGATATGAGGTTGTTGCAATAGAATATTTGTATAGCATTGGGAAGCAGGTACGTTTTCGTTAATTTGAAGAATTTTTAATCTGTTTTCTGTTTGTGTAATATTAATTAAGAATTAATCCTAATTTCTAGAGATAAATTGGTTAATAAAGAGTAAATTTTTTGCAGTCATTAGATTAATAAATTATGAAAACAGATTATTCAAGATAGCATCCGCATGTGTGTTCAGACACCCGAGTTAAGTACGTCGTTTTTCTAATCAAAAGGAAATAATTTCATAATTGAAATTGTAAAACAAATAATTTCTGTATGTATGTAGCTCTTTAAACATAACCTAAAAAAGAAATTGTCAGCGGAATATATCACATAAGTAGCTAAAAAGGTCGCAAATCGAACACACTATGTAAGCTTTCTGGTATATTTCTACCAGGCTGCTCCGACAGCTTTGTGACTTGTGACATCACAGATGTGGGCTACCGCGATTGAGGCGATTGTCGTTAAGTCAAAGGTGTGATCAATCACAGTATCTCGGAAACGGAACAAACTGCGATGTTCGCACTTTCTCGGTCTTTGTTTGTCCAATGTAAAGTATTTTATGGCCAAATATAGTTAAACACTCAGACTACACTTTCAGGAGACAAGTACATAAAGCACAAACATTGGGAGATAGCTCTAATTATTTATGTTGCTGTATGCTTTGTCAATAAAATAAGTTAACATCAAAACCGATTTCTAATTAGATGACGAGCAAGCAAATCAATTAGACCACATACCATGTAAATTATTATCAACCTCGCTTTCACTTTTAGAGACTTAGAATCAAGTGTTTCCCTATTGACGGAATTCAATTATCATCCAACCATTCATCGCTTCTAGATATATCAATACTATATTAAGACATATTTCATGGCAGGGCGTAGCTTCCATAGAAAGAAAAAGCCCGGGAGTACACATAAAAGATCCGTGCATAGAGTATGTCGGACAAAATTACAAAACTGAGGTTGAAAATAAAAATGTTGTTGAATAAATAAATAAAAAAAAAAAACTGTCTCAGAAAACGATTCAAAATATCTTTGAAATCATGAAATTTATGACCCCTGTCCTGGGCTTACACATTTCTGCTGAGCTAGCTACGCCCCTGCATGGGGATCTATATCATCACTAGTCGATTGTCTCTCATTGTTTTTCATTTGGCATGACGCCAACGGCAAGCAGATACTGCGTGTTCTGTTTAATAACGGTTAACATTCATTATACATGTTCACAAAACAAACACCTCTTTATTTATCGCGCTGAACATGCTCATCTAATTCATCTCGACAGGATATAAATTCATCTGCTCGTAACTATATGAACACGAGTACCTGTGCAGCGCTATCGTAAATTGATGTCTGTATGTAAATAATTAAGAGCGAAATCATCGTTTTTACGTGCAACAATAACAAAAAGACCATTTGTATGAAAATATTTTTTATTGTAAAAAATATTGCCACAAAGGAATCGAGTTACTCCCTGATGTCAGAACATTGTAATTATTGTACATTTTATGTATACTTGACCAGAAGGTAGACGAGTCTTTGACTCATTCCGTTATCAAGTATAAATAAAGACTATTATTATTATTAACATGGAGTTTTGAAAACGAGACGGAGTCTTGTTTCGGTCAAAAACTAAGGAGACGAAAGTTGATTTGTAACATTTAAGTTGTGACTTAAAAATTGATATTCCAATCTTTTTCCTGGAAAAATGTCATTTTTGAACTTGGAAATGCTTAAAATCGATATGTTGAAAAGGTTTCATGCTTGATTTCCATGTAACGCACCAGACCAAAAAAATAACACTGAAGTTCACCATTAATATATCATTTTTAAAACTAGTTCATGACTACCATAATGGTGCTTCATCTAAAGATTAAGGTATATTTTAGGCAGTTTTATCGAAGGTGAAAGTTTAATATTGATACTCTATACAGGTAGCTTTCTTTAACTTAACAGAACTAAGCTGTTACACAATTTAAATAACAGAAATCACAATCTAGTTGATTCATCCTTTTTGCTATTGTCCACATTTGCAGCAACGGACGGAACCGCCACAACCGTGTCGTCATCAACAGGAGGTGGAACGTAAACTTTGTAAGCAATCATAGCAAATATGGCGCCCATTAGTTTGATTGCTGCAAACCACACGACAAGACGAACACCAAGATCAAACTTCCGGTAAGTCCAACAGGATCCGGTTTTTCCACAACTTTCCTGCCATACAGAGCATGCGCTGTCTATTATTGCCCCTAATAGTATTGGTCCTGGCGTTGTCCCTTGAAGAGATTATATAAGAATAGATTTAATACACTACATTTTGTCACAAAATTAGTTTATTAATAATCCCCTCATTGATGATCTGAAGAAAACAGATAACTAATGCTACAGTAACTGTAACACTTACTCAAATCATCAAAAATGAGAAGGATGTACAAGATACAAGAGGCACAAGCAATTTGTTTTGGAGGTGTCACCGTCTTCTACCTCATGTGCGAGATTAACTTCATAAATGTAGGTTAAATAAAAACAGCACCAAGTTCTCTAAACAATACGAAAAAATAACGACGTGTTGACAAAATCTTAATTCCAAATCAAGATCGATAAAGCGATGGCGATACATAATACATAGCACGGAATCCATGAGAAAGTATTAGCACAAAGAGAATAAGACCAGGTGTTGTGGAAGGGCAAGAGCGCTCAGCTTCATTTGCCTATACCGCGATGTAAATCTTTGTAAATCCTTGTAAGTAATTTCAAATACAATATGTCAAAAATCATATCGAAACGAAACGAATGAATATTTCTCGGTGGCTTAATGGTACCGTTATCGAGTTTAAAGATGGTCTACATTTCCTTGCGTTATAGTACTTTTTATAACCTTTCCAAGATGATATGTAATAACGGTTGTTGCGATGAATGTTTCTCAAATTGACACGATTCTTGGTGCGTATACAATTAATAACTAATTAACTTCTCATCATGGTTCGGCCATAATATGCTTATCATCAATACACCATCCATTTTTTTCCCAATTTGATTTCAGTGGTAACACTTAGGTGAAAGACAATATTTTTACACCGGAAACAAACAAACAAACAAACAAACAAAATGTATGATCTCTTGATAAGGAAATGATACCTTAAATCTTAAAAATCTATATCTAAATTTGATCGGTATTACCTAACAATCTTACTACTAACAACTCCACTCCGATGGCGAGGGATCTCTGTTTGGGTTGGACACACCTGTAGAAATGAACAATAGTTAAAATTAACTATCTGTATAATACACCGAAATTTTACATGTTATATACCTACATTGTGCATGGAATTATGAAATATAAGTCAACCGGTTTTTTTATATTGCAAATGAAACAAAATTTTGAAAATAACGCTGAGATTATGCATCAATAATTGTAAGATATTTACAATTGTGCGTTTAAACTCAGATCTGACAGCCTAAAGTGATACAGGCATATAATAGAAATACACGTTCTTTAGGAAAGGATAAGAGTTCGTTTGACAAGCCATTTCTTATCTGTCAAATACATTGTATAAATGTAGTTGCCTAGTAATTTTTGTAAGTATATTCCATTATCAAATACGGGACTTAAGCATGACCTTCACGACTGTCATAATACATTGAACAATCGTCACGATGCACAACGCTGATCACAGAACATCTGTGTAGGGTATATAGGTATATTATAATGATAAATATATAAATCACTATCTTTCCAGTGAATATTTTTGTAAGTATTTAAAAATAGATAATTCAGCGTAAAACAAATAAAATATGTATTGTCTTTGTTAGTCAGTGTCAATGTATACCCAAAACTAACACAAAGACAGAGTGAAATTACTCCGTTATTGTCTTTGTTAGTCAGTGTCAATGTATACCCAAAACACAAAGATAGAGTGAAATTACTCCGTTATTGTCTTTGTTAGTCAGTGTCAATGTATACCCAAAACACAAAGATAGAGTGAAATTACTCCGTTATTGTCTTTGTTAGTCAGTGTCAATGTATACCCAAAAACACAAATACAGAGTGAAATTACTCCGTTATTGTCTTTGTTAGTTAGTGTCAATGTATACCCAAAAACACAAAAACAGCGTGAAATTACTCCGTTATTGTCTTTGTTAGTCAGTGTCAATGTATACCCAAAAACACAAAAACAGAGTGAAATTACTCCGTTATTGTCTTTGTTAGTCAGTGCCAATGTATACCCAAAAACACAGACAGAGTGAAATTACTCCGTTATTGTCTTTGTTAGTCAGTGTCAATGTATACCCAAAACACAAAGATAGAGTGAAATTACTCCGTTATTGTCTTTGTTAGTCAGTGTCAATGTATACCCAAAACACAGAGTGAAATTTCTCCCGTTATTGTCTTTGTTAGTCAGTGTCAATGTATACCCAAAACACAAAGATAGAGTGAAATTACTCCGTTATTGTCTTTGTTAGTCAGTGTCAATGTATACCCAAAAACACAGACAGAGTGAAATTACTCCGTTATTGTCTTTGTTAGTCAGTGTCAATGTATACCCAAAACACAAAGACAGAGTGAAATTACTCCGTTATTGTCTTTGTTAGTCAGTGTCAATGTATACCCAAAACACAAAGATAGAGTGAAATTACTCCGTTATTGTCTTTGTTAGTCAGTGTCAATGTAGACCCAAAACACAAAGATAGAGTGAAATTACTCCGTTATTGTCTTTGTTAGTCAGTGTCAATGTATACCCAAAACACAAAGATAGAGTGAAATTACGTCAGTGTCAATGTATACCCAAAACACAAAGACAGAGTGAAATTACTCCGTTATTGTCTTTGTTAGTCAGTGTCAATGTATACCCAAAACACAAAAACAGAGTGAAATTACTCCGTTATTGTCTTTGTTAGTCAGTGTCAATGTATACCCAAAACACAAAGATAGAGTGAAATTACTCCGTTATTGTCTTTGTTAGTCAGTGTCAATGTATACCCAAAACACAAAGACAGAGTGAAATTACTCCGTTATTGTCTTTGTTAGTCAGTGTCAATGTATACCCAAAACACAAAGATAGAGTGAAATTACTCCGTTATTGTCTTTGTTAGTCAGTGTCAATGTATACCCAAAACACAAAGATAGAGTGAAATTACTCCGTTATTGTCTTTGTTAGTCAGTGTCAATGTATACCCAAAAACACAAAGACAGAGTGAAATTACTCCGTTATTGTCTTTGTTAGTCAGTGTCAATGTATACCCAAAACACAAAGACAGAGTGAAATTAATGTATACCCAAAACACAAAGATTATTACTCCGTGTCTTTGTTAGTCAGTGTCAATGTATACCCAAAACACAAAGATAGAGTGAAATTACTCCGTTATTGTCTTTGTTAGTCAGTGTCAATGTATACCCAAAACACAAAGATAGAGTGAAATTACTCCGTTATTGTCTTTGTTAGTCAGTGTCAATGTATACCCAAAACACAAAGATAGAGTGAAATTACTCCGTTATTGTCTTTGTTAGTCAGTGTCAATGTATACCCAAAACACAAAGATAGAGTGAAATTACTCCGTTATTGTCTTTGTTAGTCAGTGTCAATGTATACCCAAAACACAAAGACAGAGTGAAATTAATTGTCTTTGTTAGTAGTGTCAATGTATACCAAAACACAAAGACAGAGTGAAATTACTCCGTTATTGTCTTTGTTAGTCAGTGTCAGTGAAATTACTCCGTTATTGTCTTTGTTAGTCAGTGTCAATGTATACCCAAAACACAAAGATAGAGTGAAATTACTCCGTTATTGTCTTTGTTAGTCAGTGTCAATGTATACCCAAAACACAAAGATAGAGTGAAATTACTCCGTTATTGTCTTTGTTAGTCAGTGTCAATGTATACCCAAAACACAAAGATAGAGTGAAATTTCTCCCGTTATTGTCTTTGTTAGTCAGTGTCAATGTATACCCAAAACACAAAGATAGAGTGAAATTACTCCGTTATTGTCTTTGTTAGTTAGTGCCAATGTATACCCAAAACACAAAGATAGAGTGAAATTACTCCGTTATTGTCTTTGTTAGTCAGTGTCAATGTATACCCAAAAACACAAAAACAGAGTGAAATTACTCCGTTATTGTCTTTGTTAGTCAGTGCCAATGTATACCCAAAACACAAAAACAGAGTGAAATTACTCCGTTATTGTCTTTGTTAGTCAGTGTCAATGTATACCCAAAACACAAAGATAGAGTGAAATTACTCCGTTATTGTCTTTGTTAGTCAGTGTCAATGTATACCCAAAACACAAAGATTGTCTTTGTTAGAGTGAAATTACTCCGTTATTGTCTTTGTTAGTCAGTGTCAATGTATACCCAAAACACAGAGTGAAATTTCTCCCGTTATTGTCTTTGTTAGTCAGTGTCAATGTATACCCAAAACACAAAGATAGAGTGAAATTACTCCGTTATTGTCTTTGTTAGTCAGTGTCAATGTATACCCAAAACACAAAGATAGAAAATTACTCAGTGAAATTACTCCGTTATTGTCTTTGTTAGTCAGTGCCAATGTATACCCAAAAACACAGACAGAGTGAAATTACTCCGTTATTGTCTTTGTTAGTTAGTGTCAATGTAGACCCAAAACACAAAGATAGAGTGAAATTACTCCGTTATTGTCTTTGTTAGTCAGTGTCAATGTATACCCAAAACACAAAGATAGAGTGAAATTACTCCGTTATTGTCTTTGTTAGTCAGTGTCAATGTATACCCAAAACACAAAAACAGGTAGAGTGAAATTACTCCGTTGTGCTTGGTCCAAATCTTACCAATAGATAAAAAGATTTCGGGAAGTCCCTCCAAGACTTGCCGAAGTTGGGTCTAGTCGTCATTTCGTTAGCATCGTTGTTGTGGGCTTCGGACCTGCGCAGTTTCTGTAGTTGATCATGGCCTATAACATACCATGCGTTCACCCTTTTTATTCTTTCCTCTATGTCCAACGAAATATTCTAATTCAGTAGTAGAGAAATGAAAAAAAAACACTAATGTTAGTAAAAGGTGTATGTGAGCTACCAGGTCACCTCTGTCAACCAGGTCCTGTGACACCTAAACATGATCAGGATAGTTAGGGCAAAGAGAGCATCCCGCAGGATTGCTTATTCCATACCTCACAGCAATCTGATAAAAAGTGGGCGACACCGTTCTTATAAGGTCACAAAAGGAATGTGAAATCCAAATTGAGCAACGGTTTAATCCATGTACGTTATGTTGAAATTATGGAAACACTTCAAACGACCATGATATATACGAAGTTATTTCACAGCGAAGACTTTCGGATCCTTCGAGAAACAATATACAGGAGACAGCCAGTCATTTGATTCTTTACAAAGAACAAGATTGTACAAACGACACACAAGTGAATAGCACCTTTTAATACAATGTTTGAGAGTCAGATAAAGCAGAGTCAAACAATCTATTAAAATGCATCATACAGCTGTTTCGTCCTTCTTGAACTCGTCAGTGATCAAGACCTAAAATTTGAACCCTAGGAGGCGACTGAGGCGAAAATCCAAAGAGATCAAAAGAAAAGTCACAATATTTCACATAGTGTTATCAACGGAACTTATCAGAAAAGTACCCAAAATTGAGGAAATGAAATGTTTCGGAGATGTATGTAATATACGCGAATGCTAAAACACATCAAATAGACCTACCTCAGTGACAATACTTTTGCCAGCCACAAGGATGAGAAAAAAGGGTAATAATAATTATTGATATATGATGTAGATCAATGCCCATAAGATAAGCATTCTAACTGTGTTTTATGTGATATGTATATAGGCTGTAACACTGACCAAGGGATTCAGTTCTGGCAACTAAAGTACAATTCCCAGTAAAGAGAACACTGCATGTGTATTTCCCACGGAATATACATCATGTATATAAGTCTGGAACGTGTATTTCCCACGGAATAAACGTCATGTATGTAAGCTTGGAACGTGTATTTACCACGAAATAAATGTTGTATATAAGTTTGGAACGTGTATTAACCAAGAAATAAATGCCATTTATCATGTATATAAGTCTGGAACGTGTATTTACCACGGAATATACATCATGTATATAAGTCTGGAACGTGTATTTACCACGGAATAAACGTCATGTATACAAGTCTGGAACGTGTATTTACCACGGAATAAACGTAATGTATATTAGTCTGAAACGTGTGTTTACAGTGGAATAAATGCCATGTATATAAGTCTGGAACGTGTATTTACCACGGAATAAACGTCATGTATATAAGTCTGGAACGTGTATTTACCACGGAATATACATCATGTATATAAGTCTGGAACGTGTTTTTACCACGGAATAAACGTCATGTATACAAGTCTGGAACGTGTATTTACCACGGAATAAACGTCATGTATATTAGTCTTGAATGTGTATTTACCACGGAATAAACGTCGTGTATATAAGTTTGGAACGTGTATTTACCATGGAATAAACGTCATGTATTTAAGTCTGGAACGTGTATTTACCTCGGAATAAACGCCATGCATATAAGTCTGGAACGTGTTTTTACCTCGGAATAAACGTCATGTATATAAGTCTGGAATGTACAGTAAATTTTCATAGCATTTAACTAAAAGAAAATAGTGTGAAACTTTAAGGGTGTTTTATTTAAGAATGTATACAAACCTGGAAGTTCTTTGGGGTATCCAAGAAGAGGGAAACCAATCAACAGGAACGAGAAGAATGATATCAGTATTCCAATCCACCAAGCTCCTACCCATTGAGGGTCTGCCGGAGTCAGGGGAACACTACATTATCAAAAAACATATTTTAACGTATGTATATCTGCCGTATTGGATAAAGTAAATACCCACACATAGAAATTGTTTTGTATAATTCTACGAAAATATGACTAATGTTGCATAAGCTTTTTTATCATATTTCAAAACAGGCACCAATTTATATGTTATTTCATTGACTTAGAAAAATCAAATGATTATTTGGAACTGTAAATTTGATATAATTATCGAAGCCTGGTACATTTAAGAATTGATTTTTTTTTTTTACTTACGAGGAAATGTCCACTTTGTCAGCGTCTACAAAATACGACAGCGTCTGACCTCCGACTATATACCCGACAGCAACACCCACAGCCGCCGAGCTAAACGTACATCCTGCAACAAATATCAAAGAAAACACAATGGTAATGAACTGTGAATTATTACAAATTGTGCTTATCTAAGAGTTTATGACTTATGGTTTTCAATAGAACTTAGATAATTACATTATCAGACATCGCAAAATTAGTTATAAAATCAATTAGAGTTCATTTATAGTGCAACACATTATCGCTAAAACATATCATTTACTAAATTCAAATTCAATTATACTTTTATAGTTGAGTAAATCAATTAGTTATCTATGATAGAGTAAACAAAAGTTATTATTTTCATTAAAAAAGATAATTATATGCTGTCTACTTACATTCTGCGTTTTTTATTGTCAAAGAGTAAGTAGTATCGTGGCCTGGTAAAGTATATATACTATATAAACCCTTACCTATATAGAAAGACGTCAGTTTCGGTTTACAGTTGTCGTCGATATACGTCAGTGCGATCGTAAACATTGGGATAGCTCCAATTCCAAGAAACGCTTGACCAATTAAAAAACACGCGTAGTAACCATCATATCCAGAGCTGTTAGACGTTCCGTCTTCGCAAGCGCCACTCGAAGTATTACCTTTTCCCGACATACATAGATTTTGTGTTCCGTTGGTTCCGCCTGTAAAACGAATTTCATCTTTTTACATTGCCAACCTGTTTTTATTGTAATAGCATATTTCACATTTTGGTTGTGATAGGCGGATGGTCCAAAGCGTTGCAATTGTAAACTCATATGAATTGTGATGACATTATAAAATCAAAAAGACCCTATTTAGAATGCATATGTATCTAAAATTGATGTTTTTAGTGCTATTGTTTCATCAAGAGAGAAACTGGATTAAAGAAAAGACCATAGACTCTTTTCAAAAGTCTCATATGAAACTTAAACTTAGACAAGATCATTTTTATAATATGCTTCGTGTCGATACATGTTCTCTGCAAGGAATTTTTATTTTCAACACTTACAACGTGGTTTTGAAACTTGTTAGACATGTATAAGTATTTAGCTATGAAAATCTGCTTGATTCCTTTTCATACTTATCTATTATCCGTAAATCCGACAAAGCTTGTCTTTTTACACTATACAGATAACTCGTAGTCTCATAACAGGAGATAACGTGTTACCTACTCGAGACGGTGTATTTGTATTCGTCTCCAACGAACTGTGGCAGGGAGAATATGAGACTCCCTAAGGACATGAGAAACACCCCAGCTGCCATGATACGTGGCTTGTTCCTCTGGCCTCCGTAGTAGCTGATGAAGATGAGCACAACTAAAGCACCAAAGTCGTTAGCACTAGCGATAATGGAAGAACGAGAGCTGGACATCTCGTACCGCTTCTCCAGGGACGGTATGACGACATTTATTACACCGTTCACGATGAAGCCCTCGAAGAAATTAAACACACACTGCCAAAACACGTGCCACCTAATGCTGTTAAACACCTGTAAAAATCTGCAAAAAGTAACACAATATTTCATTAAAAAATATCGTAAACCGGGTTTATGATGTTTGATCTCGTTTTAATACTATGTTATACAGTAAAACCCGTCTATAGAGGCCATCCAACGAAGCAATAAATAATGTACACCAGGGCCTTTATTTAGAGTTTCAATTTTTATAGTGGTCTTTATAGACAGGTGGCCTTTGTATAAAGATGGGTTTTAAGACAGATTTGACTGGGTTTTTTTTATTTTCAAATTTTTTGTTTGTTTTATTGAATCTAGTGTGGTTATCAAGTGGCGTTTATACAAAATATGTACTGAAGCTACTCACCTCGGTCTACATGTCCAGCATCCATAGCGATCTTCATTTCGAATTATTTTTCTTTGTGGTTCTGCTCGGTCGACCGTTTCGAGTGTCATTTTCCCTTGTTGCAGTGGCTGAAGTATCGAACTCTTCGGAAACAAATTAAACAACAAGCTAATTTAAAAATTTGTTGTTTGTTTGTATTTTCAATATTGGCGCAAACATAAATTTGTCAGTTACACCAAACAATATATATATTACGAAATAAACCTACTGCAATATGCTTCATTCAGTAAATATATAATTCAAATTTGCATATTTTTGTGTTAAGCCATGCAACTAAAAATAGGCTTAGAGCTATGTGTTATATATCGCATACATAATTATCGTATCAGTATATAATTAAATGTAAAGACACTTTACCTCGAAGTCATCAGCCATGCTATATTGAAGTTCTTTGGGTTTGTAGACCTGTCCCTTATTTTGTTCAACACTTTCAGAGTTACAATGGTAACTGACTGTTTTACTACGTCGGCTATGCTAATGTTATCGTTCTATGTGAAATGTGTTAGCATTAAGTGGCGGGGTCAGATAAGATAAAATAATCGCAATCTTATCTTGTCTTACATGTCCATCTACTTAATAAAGAACGTCAGCATGAAAGCTGAAATATTACGAAAATAAACACCAAACAGATATGGGTAATAAACAATTAGGAAGCGTCAAATCAGGACATTAACAAATCAAAATAAGTATTAGAAAAAAAATACATTTATCAAGAAAAGGAATATTACATCATGCTGAATTGAATCTGGTTTGAAATAACCATAAAATAGATAAGAATGGGATATGAATGAAGCATAATACTTTGTAAGTACGCATTTTTATTAGCGAAAGTTAAAGCACACGCACATACAATATTATCATGTTACTTATATATATATAAACTTATTTATTTTACAACAATTGCGAAACAAGTTATGTCAACTTATACTAATCACTCTTGTTGGCCCGGATGTAAGCGCGCAAGGGGTCTTATTGTGGGAGGAAACCGGAGTACCCGGGGAAAACCCACGTGGTCAGGCAGGTGACCCCTTACCTTTTCATGTTACTTATACTCAGATCAGTCAAATCTTGATTTCATAAGATTATATTACTCAGTATAATAGTGACATCCCTCTGTGTGCCTTATTTGCATACTGAATTGTCCAGTAAGGTATTGGTGAGTTTTAATAAAATTCTTGCTTTCTTTCAAAATATTCCAATTAGACATTTTGATATATTTTGGATTTGTAATATATAAATCAAATAAACATAACGAGTTTGTGAAAAAATCCAGTATGAACATAATTGATAAATACAAAGATGATATACCGGAAGTTGTAATTATAATAAGTCGTTAGCTAGGTACTTAAACTAGCTTTATATGTAATAGACAATGCAGTTTTAGTTGGCGCTAGATACTAGCATATAACATTTTCATTAATTAGGTGAAAACATGTATTTGAATATACTAGTAATAGTAAAATCAATACTTATGATAAACGAAAGTGTGAAATCTAGCTACCTGGTCAATAAGTTTACTTGCCTTGTCATTCAAACACATGTCACACTGAGAACGTTCGTTGATAACGTCTTACTGTTTAATGACATGTGAAGTATTATCACATGTAGAGTATCACTATACAGTAAAACTAAGACAGAACATCTTAACATCCCAGTGACAACAACTTTACCTAGAATAAGACCAAAATTGCTTCATTACAAAGCCAACTAAATGCCCTAGTCATTGAGCACATTTTACCATTGTTAAATATGTTTGCCAACCAGGAAGCGTGTCAACAACGACAAAGGGTAACGAAAGTAACAGTAAAAAATTCTGAATAACCAAAAAGACGAAGAAATGTGTGTGCCTGTGATTACAACCAGAAGTACAGTTGCGTGTATAAGTATAAAGCATATATGAACCATTTTAGAATTGCAAACGAAGTATTCACGGCATCAATTGTATTGTGTATTACACAATGCCTCTAATGATAATAAGAAAGATGTCGTTTTGATGTTAGAATGATCAACAGCTGGTTATTCTTAAGGTTCATTCACACCGTTCCAGGCAGATTTAAGAGGTTTGCGAATTTTGCTCCCCGGAGCTCCCCGCAAAAGGCCCAGACATGACAGTATCTCTGTTCTGTGGACATGTAGTAAGTCGTATAAAGGGCCAGTTATTGCCTTCCTGCTTGCGAACAGAATGCACGGAAAGCAAACAATTCACATACAAATTTCGGCCCACTGGCAAAAATTATCCTATACATTCTGTAAATCCATTCATACATGATCACCGTGTAGCCTGCCCGACATGGTGTAACAGGGTCTTTAGATAATGAACATACGGCACTTTCATTGTTTATAATTACAAATGTTTAGTTTAAGGATGGTCTGTTCTTTCACACCACATCATGATATTAACAAGATAAGAAAAGTTACTCACAACTGCCTGATGTTTCGGTATTACCCAATGATGATGTGTTTCGGTTTCTCCGCGCACCTTAGAATATTTTGTTAAATCTAGGTTAGAAGAAAATATTTGCTTAACGTTTAATGACTAAGAGACAAATAGCAAGAGGCATCATCGTCAAGTCTCCTTAAATGGCTCATGTATATACTGACCGTAAAATGACCTCTATTCGGACTGGCCCGTCCAACTTACTGATAAATGTTTGTACTCAAAACTCTGTGTATTCACATACATGTACTAATATGCATAAATAAACAAGGCTCCAACAAGCAACACGGAATTTGTTTGTTTATGTAAAATAGAGGGCAGTTTTACTGGACATGTATGTACTTTTATTACATTACAATTTTCCCAGATCGGGATTTCGTTCATGACAAACCCTTTTTTTATATACGAATCGGGAGTTGTTACAACTTCAATGTGTAATCTGAAGAAAATATTAAGTCATTGGTACTTTGGCGTTTCGATGAGATTATGTTTCCTTTCTTATGTTTCAAGGGGTACCGAAAAAATCCAACTTTTCATTGACGCCGACAAGTTAATGAACGTTCAATAATCACCAATGGTTCTTCTAAAAAGAACATTGGTTTGTGATATCCATCAGATAAAAATAGCCTGTTCATATACTTCGTTTACCAGGTACTACACCTGTAGATTGATGTAACATACAAATATATTGTTGTCAAACGAATTGAATGTAACATCGTTGAACTTACCAGAAATTCCCCGGAAGAAATGATTGTTGTATGTCAATGCTAATCTAAAGAGTTAATATCAATTGCTCAGTCTTGGCTTCACGCATTTAAAAACGGCCATTACGTCTTCATAGCTATGCTTCAAAGGGGCGATGTCCTGGTTGATCGATAGCTCAATCGTATATACTGTATATAACGCACCGTTCAAAGCTAGACTATGACAGAATTACAAAAGAAACGAAATGCCCAGGGCTTAAGAGATTTATATGTGGAATAGGGTGTATGCATAACAAAAGAACCAAATCTTACAAGTTTCTAAAGAAGAAGAAAGAAGTGATACAGATCTTACAGTCACTCCTATTTTTATACTGTCAAACCTACCTATAAAGGCCACTTAATGGAGCGGAGAAACGTGGCCAATCACTATGAACTGCATGACATAGGGAACCAAACAAGCGGTCTGTATAGACAGGTGGTCTTTTTATAGAACTATAAATTGCAGGACATAGGAAACCGTTTCAATATCTATTTTCTATGTATATCGTGACATAATGCAGATTTTAATGTTAATGAAATCTCCTTTCTAAAACTTCATTTTAATAAGTGAAATTCAAGATTTTTCACAGTTACAATATTTGGTATATGTAAGATAAAATGCGATCCAGTGTAAGTATCCAATTACTTCCATCTAGTAATTCAAAACAGAGTCGCTGAAATCTTTTTTAAATGTGTGTAGTTTATGTTATCCAAGTGGATTGTATGATATACATCAATACTTTGCTTAATGTTCATTCCATACATGATGAGGCTCAACAATTCAAAATTCAGACCGGTCATGATGCTGATGAAATTACCAATCGTGCACCGGCGATTGAGACAAACCTCATACGGTTTTATGGTAATATGGAGATTGCAATTTTATATTTTGTATTTCTTCATCTCAAATGGTTTATTGAAACATCCTCGAAAAAACTGTTTCATATGCCAAGGGATTAACTGCTCTCGAGTCAGGTTACCCTGCGAATCATGCACGACTATAAATCTGCTCATTCCAGCAGCAAGACTGGGCTCTTGTTAAAACAACATCCTACCTGTATTATTCAAGAGTAAAATCTAAAGAGAGGCCTAAAAAGGAAAACAGAAAAATCCGCCTTTTGTCCAGTGGTGAATTTGCTAATGTAACTTAATTTAGCATATGACACTATTGTAATATACCGTGGGTGAGAGAGAGAGAGAGAGAGAGAGAGAGAGAGAGAGAGGATGAGGAAGGGGAGGGTGAGTTAAATGATAAAAATATGGTTTTGTTTTCAGCTTATATAACATTTTATGAAAGTCATTTGGAATCTTTTATCTTTGTTCACCAAGATATACAAAACTGCCGAAATTAATCTTTTTCCCATTTGTCGAACATAATTATATCAGCATCACAGTCATATTAATAAAAGGCTAGCTCATATATCTGTAATTTGAGGGATTGCGTATGTCACGTTGATATACGATATCGGAGATATCGTATTCCGTTGAAATGGATATATTACAGTTAAATAAATAATAAGGATAATAATATAGTATCTTGATGCATTTTTCAGCCGTTGGTGACCGAGTTTGGCACATTACCAATTGATTCCTAACATCGATAGTGTTTCAAATAACACAGTGTATAAACTACATGTTTATACTGTTTGTATTGAAATTTACTGTTTAATACTTTATGTTGTGGTACTGATTCGCATTTGTATATGTGTATTCCAGGGACGTATACTGGTATTCGAACAAAATTTGTATTTTATATTACGATGGAAGAATTTTTTTCCGTTTTGCGATTGTTTAGAATGAAAATTCAACAATTGTTAACTTCTTTAATAACTTATCTTGAATAAATGTACGAATCTGTTATTACGTGAAATGTTCTTTTCAATATTTCAAGAGCGCTGATAGCAACTTTTCCCCTTTATCTCGTATGTGGCCTCGCTGAAAAAGACGGATTTCAAATAAATTTCGTTTCCTTTTTATTACTACTTAGTCTTACTTATTTCGACGCTTCAATTGGTACTTGCCTGTTATCCAAACACCCAAATGAGCCGGACATGCTTGCAATGGCTGACCAAGGAAAACAAGGCGGTGATTGTATTTTTGTTAAACTAAAGCATCTCTGTTACCACTATTGATATGTTTTGAGTCTTAACTTTTAGACATTTCACTCAGGAATTCGAATGAAAATCGCCATGTTGTAGTAAATCTGCTGACGTTCCACCATTCTTGCTGAAAATTGTCGAAGATAGTGGAATCCAACTCGTGGAATCTCATAGTGCAAGCTTAATATATGATTGTAGAGAAAGTAACTCCTCAGTGAAAATGACTTGCAAATTGTCAACTGATTTCGTTTCAAACGATCGGACTGATCAGCATATCCCCCTAGCACAAAAATAAACACTTGAAAAAATTCATTCAGAATGTTGTTATCATAGGGCACCCTATGCCCCATTATTGCTATAATTCATGAAAATAAAATGAATCAGTCTGAATATTGTCACAATTAAAACATGTTCATGTTAAGAATCGGACTTTGTCAATATTGATTAACAACTAACAATACTTACAGAAAGTCCTTTAATACCCAAATCTTAGGACAATGTGACTAGGGAATGTCATATGGAAATACCTGCACAACATAAACTCTTTCTATATGATCTCTCTAGGCAATCACTGAAGATTAAGGTTATTCTTTTTGTTGCATGCTTTTTTTTTAGATTTGAATTTAAGTTAAAGATGGCACTAGTATAATATTATGTTCTTGAATTTTATGTTGTTTCCAGTGAAGCGTTCGAGGAAGGGAGAGCCAAAGGTGCCAGTAAATGAGAATTCCCCTGTCATCCAGGCATTTAGAGTGTACCAATCAGAATTGGACACAAGGCATGACAAACATGAGCGCCTAGTCAAAGTGAGCAGGGACATAACCATTGACAGCAAGAGAACGATTTTCTTACTTCAGAGGGTGGCAGGGTAATCTCTTTATTTACATCCGAGATAAATTTAGAATAGTTGTAGCTTGTCACAGTTAGGTTTCCTAAGATGAGAATGTTTTAAAAAGTAGCTTGAAATATGTGAATAAAGTTGATAACAACAGAATGCAGCAGGCATTAGGAGTGTGTTTGTATATGAATGTATTGATATAAAAAAAAAAATCTGCAGAATGTCTATAATTCCTTTGTTACTTACTCTCTGTGAATGTTGTAACAAATATAGTTTTTTTCTTTACTGCAAATCTTATACACATATCTCGAACCTGTGTTCTCTCTATTTCCCAGTGCTCACCTTCCTCACCATACATTCTATAGATGTATATCTATACTTTATAGTGATCATGACTATTTCCCTGCTATGAAGCTCTGTTAGCTTACTTCTTTTATAAACATCAGTACAAATAATAAATCCAAAGCAGATACAAGTAGCAATAAATCAACTCACTTTTCCAGAAATTCCACAATTTTTAATTTGTATTTGAAATACAAATGTAGTTAAAAATGATTTCTTTCATAACTAACGACATGATTTCAAAATTCCGATATATCTTTGTACCAGCCCATTGATCTTGTAAACAAAGTCATGTATGAATAATGATTGGCAGTTTGTGCAAAAACATGTTTGTTTATTATTTATTTTATCTCACAGGTCAGATTCTGAATCTGCATTGTTAGAGGAGGCTTCAGATAAAATAAAACAGATCCAGAAAGCCAAGTTTGTCTTGATAGCAGAAGAATTACAAGATGAAGACCCATACAGATTCATTAGGGCATACTCACCAGGTATGATAAAGGACTATTTGTGGTCTTTAAAGTATTCATGATACTTCTACCTGGTATGTAAATGGGAGTTCAGAGTTGATAAGTATTCCAAGGAAGGTTTCCAATTATGGCCACTAAGTTCCACATCTGACTGAATTTTGGCAGTCATTAGTCAAGATTAAAGGTCAAAGGTCATCCATTCCTGACTATTTCTTTGATAAAGACCAATATATCGCATGAATCTCTTGACATTTTTACTTCATTTTCACACCAGAACTGTACGAGATATCTCATGAACCCTATAACAGAATAACTCTTCCATAGATTTAGATCACAAGAAGAAAAATCAGCTTACTTTGTTCTTATTGTTTGCAGAAAAGGTTGGGGGATGAAAATTTTGTGAGAAACATCCAAATGCTGTTTACATATCACTGATGTTTGCTAATTTCAGGTCATCTTATCTGTAGGTTCAAGATGACTTACTGTCATCATGCTTTGCCCGTCATCATCCACAATGCATACATTTTTACATTAAAATATATCTTCTCCTATATGCCCAAAAAAATTTCCACCAAATTTGGCTTTAAACAACAATAGGGGAGGACAAAGTCAATTTGTATAAGTGAAGGTAATGCAACCTCTAGGATGCCTTTTTGGAATGAGGATTTAAAATTCTTCTCATCTGAGATGACTTTACAGTTTTCAACCAAATTGGCTTTAAACATCATTGGGGAGAGCAATCAAAATTGATATAAGGTAAGGTATTGTGGTCCCTAGGGCCCAGGGAGTGAAGCCCATGAGGACATTAGACTTGGAAATTCATCTTTCATATGCCAAGGCAGGTTTCAACCAAATTTGGCCTGAAACATCTTTGGGGGCTGGAAGGTGAGGGGCCCATTACGAAAATGTAGGAGATTAGGCTTTAAGATTCTCTTCCTTCCATACATCTGTAACCCCCCACCCCCTCATCAGCTCCCCCCCCCCCCCCCCAAAAAAAAAAACAAAAACAAAAAACAAACAAACCCACAGTCTTCTTCACAAGACTTGTAATATTGAAGTAATCTTAGTGTTAAATATCCACTCCTGTCACATGCACATGTACCTCCCTCAGTTTATTAATCTAAAAAAAAGTCTGCTATTCATTGTGTGTAACATTTTACATGTACATAATTTTTAGGCTCTCTGACACAAATTGTCGGTTACACCCTAGTGGAGAATAATCATTTCTGCTGGGTTGAATTGTTTACATTGGTTTTCCTTTATGTAACCTGTGTAGAGCACATATGCTTTTTTGGTCAGATGACTATTAAAGCCCATGAGCCTCTTGTTTATTTAAAGTGTGCTTTTAACCTTGACCCATCTCAACTGATCACTGCTAGCTGGTAGCTAAAACCTGTTTTTTTCATTTGCATGACAAAATTTAATGCAATATTTATATGTTTGACAGGTCTACAGGAATATATTGAAGCAGTCTCATTCTTTAAATACATCAAGTGCAAGGAATTAGTAACACTACAAGAAATCCAGCAGGATCTGATCTTTCCCAAGCATAATGACAGTGGACAAACATGTGACCAAGAGAGCCAAATGCAACCAGAAATGGTCGATTCACAGGAATGTAACATTTCCCCTACCCAGTCAGAGCAAAAGGGCACAATTGAAGTCCATGTTCCACCTATTGAATACATGCTTGGGGTGGCAGACCTTACCGGAGAACTAATGCGATTGGCTATCAACAGTGTTGGGGCTGGGAACCTTGACATCCCATTTGAGGTTTGTGAATTCTTGAGAAAAATGCAGTCAGGATTTCAGTCATTCAGCTATGTATCTAGGGAAGTGAAAAAGAAACTTCACACTCTGAATCAAAGTCTGCAGAAGGTAGAGACGGCATGTTACACCCTACAGGTGCGCGGGTCGGAGATCCCAAAACATATGTTAGTGGATGTTCTCAGTTCCCCCATGAGTGATATACACATGTACACTGACGATCAGGCCATGGATGAATAGCCTTGGTGAAGATTTTTCAATAACATGTGATGTGTTGTATATTAAAATCTTGAAGTATTGAATTTGATTTATCATTTGTATATTTCTCAGATTTCATATGTAGGTTCCCCTTGATCTTGAGTTGTGTTTTTTTGAGTTTTGGACTGATCAGAAAAACAAAATGGCTGACAGATGTCCATCTTTGATTTTGACCAAGGGAGTTTAACACTTTTTCTTGAGAAGTACATGGTGGATCGTTCTCAAATTTCAAACATGGCTTGCGGGTGGTCCCTAGTTGTGCCCATTAAATTATTGGACTGACCAGAAATATATAATGGCTGAGCCGAGGCCTTTCTGAAGTTTGATAAGGAGGCCTGTCTGAAATTTGATGATTAAAGTTTGTTATTACTAATTCTTGAGAAATGGATAGAGATTCTTAAAATTCATATGTAGGCTCCCCTTGGACTCTAGTTGTGCCATTTTGAATTTGGTACTAATCAAAAAAATAAAATGGTTGACATGTGACTATCTTGGATGAAGCAGTAAAAAATTACTATTGCTGGTTTTGAAGAATTTTCAAATTTCATATTTGATTAAGAGCAACACAGAAAAGTGGAGAAAGGAAGGGAAAAGGTATAACTTTTTAAGAAAAAATAAAGATAAAATGATTGTTGGTGCCAAGGTCCGTCTGGTATTTCATGTAAATACGCTAAGGGACAAGAGGCAATCGCAACAAGCATCAATGATTTGGCTGACCTTTGTGAGCAGAGGGGTGGGGCCAAATGGAGAAATAGATATAAAGGCTTGAAATTTTCTTTCATTTGAGTAATGCAATTTCAATCAAACAAAGGCAGATGAGCAATATAGACCCTATGGGCCTCTTGCATTGAATTCACTATAGAAATACCGAAACAAGTGCGTCATTTGGATCCAATTGTATAAGGTCAGATTATAATTTTAAGATGCAGAGTTTTAAAGTGTTGCAACTTTCAAGCATGAAATTTTCATCATAAATTTTGTAGGTACACTTGTTAATCAGTCTCTGATTTGAATGAAAAATCTCCTTCATTTAGCTTTCTGTTGATCAAAGACTAAAGCATTTCTGTGTGTACACATATCTCCTGGATAAAGGGTCTTCTTTCAAGCTAAGACAAAGTTTTGCTTTGAATTTAAGAGTTATTTCCCTTTATCTAGCTTACATGATGCCAGTTCTTGGAATAAGGTTACTTTACCTACACAAAAAGTAAACTTTGTTATTTATTTGAATTTAAGGTTTAACTCGCCACCCACTCATGATATCATACCAATGTAATTCTTTTCTCTGAAGAAAATTCTGTTACAACTGGGCAAGAAACATTTAACATCCATATAAACATATATGAAGAGTCAAAAATTATCAAAAATAATTCTTTTCTAATAACAAGTAAAACAAAGACGACAACAGCTTGTATATTTTTGTCATTGCTGATATTTAATATTTTCATCAACATGTACAACAATTTGTTCTTAGAGATAAATACACATTTAAGACATAAATAACAAATGGATTAAAAAGGATCAACATGCACAAATGCTTGGCATTTGAATCATTAAACAACCAGCTTAAACATGATGTTCCTCTTCGAGAACAGTATTGCTATGATTCACTCAAAGGGTATCCATTTTGAAATAAATAGTGTTCAATAATCTATATTCATGCAATTTCATCACACTGACTTCCTAACTTAAATCATAGGAATCCTAGTTGAACTTGAAACAATATTTCAATGTTTGTTGTTAAGCGTAACAAAAATTCATCAGTTGCACCCATAATTTCTTTTGATTATTTCATTGTTTTATCACAATTTGGAAAATTTCAGCATTGCAACCTTGTCATACATATACATGGACAGCATGTATAGGTATGGCTAGTATGGCAAGTGGATTTCTGAATAAGCCTTCTAAGTACTTGTTTTGTCAAAATGTACATTTTTGTCATTTGTTTTTGGATCTGAATAGCTCAATATCAATATCGAATTTTAAATATTTTTAGTCAAATAAGTTAAATGAGTGTCATGATCCTGTAGATGGCATTTTTGAGAGGAGTAACATAGATTATTTTTTTCTTTCAAATGAAATATTTATTTTTTAACATAAAGAGAAAATAGCTACCTGCAGACAGCTACAGTAACAGTTTTGTGAACAAGGTACAACCATACAATGTAGTGCTTGAACTATGGTGACATCAGCTGATATAACATATATATATATATATTTATCATATTTTCAACAAATATGGCAGCTCACCACATACATTTCACATGATATTGCACAAATAAAGAACCTTGATCAGACCATATTCAAAAGCACCAATGTATTGCACCACCAACAAAATTGTAAGTGTCTATCAATAATTAAGTTTGCTGTATGGTAATAAATAATATATCTACATTATAACAATCAACATGAGAGCCAAATGTTGTAAATCATGCACTTTGTCTTAACTGGCTTATTCCTCAGGCCATTTCTATATACATGTAAAATCATAGCCAATTTTTTCATGCATTTTAGATACATACATTTACTAACCTATATAACTTACAAGTAACTGTGTTGACAATTTTTATCATCATTTTAAAATATCACTGAAGATCAATTTATTAAGCAAATACAAATCAGTAATCAAACCATAGGTAAGAGTTTTTTTCAGATTGATCAGATCACAAATGTACACCAATGTATGAAGTGTAACAATGAATACATGTGTAACAATGTATCTTCAAATCTGAGATTGCAAACCAATTCTTTGTGAAAATAGCCAAGCAGACGTTTCTTAAATGCAGAGGATAAAAAGACAGAGACAGAGACAGCACCAGACAAAAACTAATGAACAACCCAGTGTTAAGTATTACAATAAAAGTGATTTATAGTCAACAGTAATATATATGTGCACATACCCTGTAACAGTCACATCAGCATTGAAATAAATCATAAAATCAGATATCAAAGCTGCTAAGCCTGATATGGCCAACTTATTTCAGGACATTTTCCTTACATGGTTTCCAGAATTTACACAAAAAGTGATGTGTTGCCAGTGAATCAGAAATTACTGTCGGCTAAACTGATTACATCAAATATAATGTTTACACACACCAGTTAATTTCAGCATAAACCATGCAAATGTCAAGCACATTTTAAGACATTAATTCAGTGAACGATACGCAAGATATTCTTTGAGAGATCTGGGAAGGGGCAGGGCATGTACTCCATCATATGTGGTATTGTCACAGATGCTAGACCAACATGTGCTGGAGTGAGAATGTGAAGTTCCTGTGTAAAGGGGAAGTTAGCATGGGCTCAAAGAACATACAGCAGCTTGGATCTATGCAGTGTTCAATAAGACTACAAAGTTTATCAGAAGCAAACACACCAGGGTTAATCAAAATTTATATTACAACAATTTATTTTCTTTGTTACTGCAATATTAAAATCCTGAAGATATCTCAGGTGTCTGATCCAAAGTTAACACCTACAAGTAATTTGTTTCATGTAACACACATTTACTATTCTCCCATTCACATTTTGGAGTTCAAAAACGGCTATCAGTGACTTTTTGCAAAATAAAATCCATTACTATTGCCCAAGTTTGCTTTGTTTGGTAATGACATTACATTTGTGATTACATTGAGTATTTCTATTAACCCCCACAGACACTCGTAATCAAACATGTACATACCAATGTAAAATGCTATTTCAACCACAAAAATTGAAAACTTACAAAGAGAAAAAAAAATTATTAATACAATAAAACAATTTTAATCTTGCTACCAAGTGAAAGTTGATAGAACCAAGCCATTATCTTAAATGCCAATATCTAAGTGATGATGTCAACCTACAACTTCCTCAGATTGAAATATGTTATCAATTTCTTAAGAAAATTCTGTATTAACTTCATTTTTTATCTTAGAATTTCAGAGTTTGGTTCTGGGTGTTCTCTGTGCTTTATCTTCTTTTGCACCTGTAGGATATATGCTCTTGCAGAATCAGAAATGCTGTGTATATACGGCACAAGCTTCTAGTTCTTGGAACTATTACAAAAGCTAGTACCAGTTACATACAAATTTTTGATCTATGTGATAAAGTAATTAAAATTGAACAGATGTACCAAATTACATATAGGGTTATTTAATCCTCAAGTTTCAGATATCAGTCTGGTGATTGGTCAAGATCAAAGGTCAAGTCTTGAACCAATCAAAAGTTAAAGTTTTTTTTGTCAGAACCTATCCCAATCATAACCCTTAAATTTCTGAGAAAACCCAAATCCCATATTCACCAGTATTCCCTCATTTAATCAGGACCTGATATATTTATCAAACATTTTTCATTACAATTGTGTTTTTGAAGTTGTAATTATGTATGTACTGTTCTTTGGAATTTTAGGAACATTAAAAAAACCAGGGTCCATTTTGCTATACAACTAATACTGGCATATATATAGACATACAACCTCTGATAATTTACAGATATTAGCATAAAAAGAATGAAGTACACATATGTCAACTTTCTAAAGAGATTCCTATTGCATTTAATGGTTTACAGAATATATCACAAGGTAAACAAACCAACAATATACATGTACATGTGCAGTAGGATTTTCAAATATTCAGGGTTTTCCATAATTTTGTTAGTAGTAAGCTGTGTAGTGAAAGTAGGAGGCTGGCCTGCCATGCACGTGTAGTCGTGTACGGAACATTATTACAGAACGGGATTGGTGTAGGTGGCCAAATGATCAAAGTAGCCGGTCAAATTGGCCGGCGACCGGCTTTCATGGAAAACCCTTAATATTACCTGGTATGTACAATGGTTAGTCTAACAGTGGTATAGAAATTTTCTGTGTTGGCAATGTTGCTGAAATATTCGTTTTATTGTTTCATATGGCAAAGTTAATATGCCTACAGTCATGCTGATACAGAGATTGTGGAAACTGCAAAAACGTTCATAGCATATGGTTTCCACTTTTAAAGAAAAATAGAGTATATAAACACATATGGACAAATAACTTAAAAATAGTTCAAATATTGAATATCAAGTGTGATCTTTTCACCCACTTGCTGTCCTGGTAAACATTGGCTAAGACGCCATATCAAACCGACGCACACGAACCTTTTGTTTGTAATGGTAGTACATGAGATATTCTTTGAGAGATCTGGGAAGGGGCAGGGCATGTACTCCATCATATGTGGTATTGTCACAGATGCTAGACCGACACATGTGCTGGAGTGAGAATGTGAAGTTCCTGTGTAAAGGGGAAGTTAGCATGGGCTCAAAGAACATACAGCAGCTTGGATCTTTGTAGTGTTCAATAAGACCACAAACTGTATCAGAAGCAAACACACCAGGGTCATGAGAATCAAAACTGAATTTGTGATTCCATTGTTCAATTCTAGCATGGAGGGACCGTCCATATCGCCTAAAGCTTACTGAGAACAGGAATTCCTCCTGTGCACTATCACGAAGTAGAAATGTCCCTTCAGGTTTGTTCTCCAGCAGCTTTTCAGCTTGATAACGGTCCATGACTCCCCAGTAGAAGCTGCACTTGGTGATCTGAAGGATGTCTGGCACCAGGCAATGCATATAGTCTACTTGAGAGTGAGCACCATAGTGACGACCTAGAAGTGGAACGCGTGGGACAGTTGGTGTTGGTGATGGGGGTGCTTGGACTAAATGAATACGTGTAGGACTACTCCCACTTCCCTCACTCGCAGAAAACTGTGGGACCAAGATGTTTTGCCTCAGTTCTATCCCCTCCTTCATTTCCCTCGCTCTCTCAGCAATCCTTCTCTCATCCACATCCTCTGTTGGGTACAATTCATCAAAGTTGATAGAGTTTAGGGGCCTAAACATCACAAATACTTCAGAGGTGGTCCGTTGCAGGTCTGGGGCACTGAACCTTTGAGTTCTGCCACGGGGGACCCGGCTTGTATCAGACATCAGTCCCTCAGATACAAGATTCTCTGTTATAAGACTTTCTGGAATGAAACCACCTTCAGCTCCACCAACATGACTACCTGATCTGTAATCATCTTCTGACAAACTTAAAGTGTCTGCAGATGATGGTTCTATCTCTTCGAAAGTGATCTCCCCTTTTGAACTCTCTAAAGTCCTCCTATATGAGGTACACATGATACTTTCATTGGATTTGGCCCCTTGCACTAATTCCTGGTCAGTGGTATTTAACCTTGAGCTTTTCGATATTAATTTTCCTCTGAATTTAATTGTCCAAAACTTTTTTCTCATATTTTTGTCTTGCATATCACATTTTTTCCTTCTTGAATTTGAAATACGTCTTGTTGAAGATTTTTTTGACAAGTTCCTTTCAACACTCATGTCTGACATTAAATCTACCATTTCATCTGAATCTGACAGGTCTGTCAAAACACTATCTTCTTTTTCACAAGCTTGGTCAACAAAGTCTGTGATGCTGTTAAGTGATATTTGGCTACCACAGCAGAAGAATGGTCGAACAGCAGATCTGTGCATTCTATGATGGGTAAGATTATTGATAGAGAACATTGACTTTGGACTACGCTTGTTGGCAGAGTTTCCTTCCCCTGATTTCTCAGTACAGCCCTGAACCATTGTCCTGTTGTGTGGAATATCTGACTCATCCAAACTCAATTCCTCTTTCACTATTTTATCAGTATCGTCATCTACAACAGACAGCAAATTGAAACATAAGAGTTGGTGTAATAAGTAATATATATATATAGCAACATATCAAGTGGAATTGATTAAAACTTGTGTTTTATCTCCTCATTTAACTAGGTCCCTGAAAAGCTTGTTAATAGTTTCCCATCCATGTAACATGTGTGTATTAATGGGTACATGTCTGCACAGTTGCAGCAGGTATCCTTATTACATATAGAACTTCAAAATACAAAGGCATAGGACAAGAGACATCTGCTTCAAATAAACCAATATATTAGATACCAAGACAACCATTTAAACATCAAATAATCTGTAACTCTTTGATGTTGATATGAATTTGCATTGCTAATATGTAAATAATGATCAAATGATGCTAACTTGTTAAAGAAGAAGATAATAAAAAGCTTTGTTTATATGGAATGGAAAAAAACAACATCCTTCATGTCTTAAAAATATTTGCAATTATCTAAAATTTGGAGGAGAAAGATTTTCTTTTGTCTGAGAAATGGGGGTTGGGGATGGGGGATAATTCCAGCTGCACTGGGAACGGGGGAGACTATAGTACTATTGTAATGAGTATATCCCAAATCTGTATGCAACATTAAAGAAATATTTACCTTACTATTTATAATTTACTATCCTTCATCTTTCAGATCAAGGCATGTATATAACCCCAAACACTGATTATTGGTAGATTACATTCTTTAACAGCATCATCATCATCACATCATGCCTATAAAAAGCATTCATCATGTTATATTTAGTACCTTTTAAAAGTTATTTTCATCCTTTAATTATCAGATAAAATAACTCTTCTAAATAAATCTACTCAAATGCAAAAAGTCTCACAACTTCTTTATATTCATTTATCATACATATGAATAAAGATAATATTCAACTTCAAGGACAGACTACCAGGCAGTTCCATTTTTATTAGGATAAAATGGAAGAATTAACAATAGTTAGTTTATCAAGATAATTTGTCATGTCTAAATTGATAACCATGAGCAGGTACAATATTTCCTTAGTTACAAAGAATGCTACATCATTCCTGGTACTTAAATGTCAGAAAAAATGAAGGGGATAGCTATGTTAGGCTTGATTAAAGATGTTGAAGTATAAGTAATAGACGACAATAGAAATATCCTAGTTTATGAATTATATACTTTAACTAAAATATTAAAGAATATACTGAAACTTATGCAATACAAAGATACTCAAATGCTTGATGACATCATTACAATGATGAGTTTGGGTACTACATTGTTCATATTATCATGAATAATACAACACAAACACACGTGTGTATGTGCCGATGTACCTGGATCATAAACTGTACATATATATGGCAATGCAGCTGCAGTTGACTCATCTATACATCCCATAACAATTATCGATTTTGCTGTGTATTATCCAAAACAAAGGCCACAGCAGCAGGAACTTATTTTAAATTAGGACCAATTTCTCTTTGATTCTTAGCCTATTACATAGCATACCCCTCTGTCTTTATGACAAAATAAAGAACAGATGGCAGAAAAATACACGGAAATCTAATAAAAAAATTCTTAATCTGCAGCTGTCGAAAGTCATAACATTTCAAGTATATATTTACCCAGCAACAGATGTACACCTATCAACGGTACTACGAATCTGTCAAAGTCTACAACTCCAACAGCAGAAACTAAATTCTCAATGGATGACAACAGATGTACAGATTTCTCTCTCTCAAAGGGAAGAAGCAGGGGGAGGGAGGGGGAGGGGGAGGGGAACTGTTTGTACGTAAGTGAAACGTCAATGAAAAAGAACAAATAGATATACAATGATGCAACATCTATAAGCTTTGTTATAGTGCCACCATTTATTTGTCCAATATAAGTTGTAAATGGACTTTGTATTGTAACTAGCTTGCAACAGTCCAGGTCAACTGGAAACAAAATTTCACACAGTGACAGTATATATATAAAGGTAATTTTATCTAAAGTTTGGCTATCACATTCAGTACATCAATGTAACTATGGCATTACCCACACTGCCATCATTACTTCTGTGGTTAGACATGAATTATAATCATTCTTACTAGCTATAGGTAAGCTTGTGATTCAGAGTAAACTACAGATGTATAATATTGGCAAATGTAACTTTTCAACATAATTTTCTACTTCCAAAAACAACTACTTAACAATATATCAAACGCCTTTATTGATTTATGTTAAGTTCACTTTAAAATTGTGAGATACTAAAATAGATGCATCATTTTCTTTGTGTTATAATATGATTGGTGTATCCTGCAAGCTTCCAGTAAATTAATTTTTTTTTAGAGTTAGCTAGACTGTCTCTAAAATCAAGATGTTGGCAATGCTTATTATCAAGATGTTTCTGCTCAGCACTATGTGCTGTGAACTTAATTTGCAGGCCACAATTCCATCACATAATGTTCTGTGATAAATGTTCTACTACCTCACACAAACAAAGAATTCCAAGCGGAAATTATTTTGACACAAACCTCCAACACCGGAAATGAGAGCTTGTGGAATTAGTGCAAACATCTGTGGTTTATTTGTATACATAGAGTGTGATAAGGACAGGCATCAGCACTTGTGTCTGAAGAGAATGTCCTGTCAGGAAATGATTGCATTAATTAAAACTTTTCCCAAAATTATATGTCACCTTTTTTCCATGATTTCATCAGAATACTGAAACATTAACTTTCCCTATGCATTAATTTCTATAGCCAACACTTTTGAAGTCAAAATATTTATATCCAAAATTCTTACATCATTTAATATATGTTTGTTCATCTTTTTCTTTTCAAATGATGAACATCTATCTAAAATAAATATTTACAACATTTAAAACTTAAACAAGCCTAAAAACTTTGAAGATGTATCCTGTTATGCAAGTTAGTTTTATGTATATATCAAACATTCTGTTGCTAATGTGTTACATCATATCATACAAGTAGATACCAGTCAGTGTTGTGTGACACTGTATATATATATGTGTGTGTTCGAAATTAATTAGAAAAATAATGTTCTTTGATCAAACTCTGAAATGAAATATTTGAACAACACAAAAAAACAGATATATACTTGTGTCTTGATCATGAGGGGAAAATGATTCCCTCAAACCCCTTATCTTGAAATTGAAACATGTAATCATGTATGTAACACATGTATATATACAAAAATCATGCTTAATCATCAATATCCAGTAGAATAGAGTCTGAATGTCAATTCCAGTACACATTACGTAGGTGAAAGGAGAGACCCAAGGATGCTGTTTCTGATGCTGACGGTATCATCACTGCAACAGAGTTACTTGCGGCAACATGATACTAATATCTACTCTAACCAAAATGTAAGCCCCTGTTAATTGCAAATGAACCCTTTGCGGCTGATGTTAACCTTGATATTTGGAAAGTTGGAGTAAATGTTTGTGAGGGTAATGAAATCAATCTTGGATGGTACATATAAGCACAATATCATTCAAATAAACGATAACAGCATTAGTCTACTATTAACTTTAAGTTTGTCTTTCGGATGATGTCATTATTCAGTCATGTAAGGTTTTTGGAATGTTTCAAAAATATGAACTGTAGTACAGTGTACACAGGAACCAAAACAAGAGCTGTCATAGAACAGTACTGCTGGACTAAGTTCAAAGCATGTCAAAAAGTGAATATTTCACACCCTCCGCCCCACAACCCCTCCATCCCACCACCCCCATTATTAAAACCTTTAGTTCAACTCCAACTCTGGGTAAGAAGTCATTGATACCAAATATCAGTACCCTAGTACAATTGTAAAGTGATGTTCTGATGTCTTTCGAAACTTGAATCAAAATCTTAACACTTTTTAGATACATAGTAAATGATTTCCAAAATGTCAAAAAGTTTGTCTTTTTTTTTTCTTCTTCTGAAAATGTCTTTATCTTGACTCTGAAAGGGATAACTAAACCCTGCAGGAACCCTGATGATAAAATACCAGTTCCTTACAATAACTATAAAGTGATGTTCTGTCTTTTAACACTCGCAGCAAAATCTATATATGATTATATGATGGCACATTTTATAAACCCGAGAGCAAGTAATATAAAACCACTTACATGTTGTCTGATGTAACACGAACTCAACACATGACTAGACTAGGGCTGTCCTGGTGATTTTAAGGAAAATTCCAAAATGAAGTTGTAAATGTACTACCATTAAAGCAGCATTAATACACAAAACACACTTATCAATATTGCCACATGTATGATCCAAGTCTATTTCTTGCATATACTGGTCACCTTCCAACAATTCATTCATCCCAATCAACTGCAGTACTATCCCATTGATCTAGCCAAACATGTACAGATGGCTGCAGTGAGTGGGTGGAATTGCTATGTGTGGGCGGATTTGATAGGTTATATTGATTACAACACCAGCTACACTCATACACCAGGTGTTGATAAATAATACAACACACAGGAATTCCATTGACTAGTATTGAACCAGGTAAATACAAGCAGAATGTGTTATAACTGTGAAATAGCTACGGCAAACAAGGCCAGGCATAATTTTCCTTTGCCCATCCCATTCCAAGACCATCCTGTTAATTACTATTTAATAATGGTCTCCATATGACTACATGAAATTAAACCACCAACAGTTCAACGTTATGTTTTATTTACTGTTAATATATTTTTTAAAAATTAAATTACTTACTGAATAATAGTCTACCATTTTGAAATGAATTGTACATGTATACATACTTGAACTTCATTGTTCAGTCATGCATCAGCTTAGAAGTGAAAAATTTCATGAATAGATTTAAAGACTTTTATAATTTCCCCACATGTTTGTATTCTACTTCGTTAAAACCCATAACAATGAATAAAAAATTCAATAATACCAATCAGCTAAAATAAAAAATGTGATCTTTAATTAAATTTTTTTTTACTTTAACCATTTAGAACATCCTATCTTAAGATGGTTCATATTTTATTACTAATATTGCTGAAG